GGCCCTATTCTACATAATTACCTTTACTTCTTTTAAATTGCTTTTAATTTTACAGATTTTTCACAGAATCTGGAATCTCGTACAAAAACGCTTTGCACTTACAAGTTTTAAACATTTAGCGATTTTACATCTGTTTGATATAATATTTCTAGACCTTTTTTGTGTGGTTCCATTAATTTCATTATTCTCCTCATTATTTGCCTGCGATATTGTTGCGCAGAGGTAAAAATCTTTTCCTTACCCTTAGAGCGCCGATTATGAGCAGCGTAGAAATCAGAATGGTCATGCAGAGGTTGATCGCGAAGATGATCTTCACGGCCGTCTTGTCTAGGATGTCGATAATTATCGTTTTCCATTCTACGTTCGCAGTGAAGATCAGGATCAGAGAAATCACGGCTAGCACCTGCACAAAGCGGATTTGCCAAGTAATTGAATGACCAACTGCGAAAATACAAAACTACTGTACACTTACGATACCGCATACTCCGCTGAAGATTGTTCCCGTTTTTAGGGAACAGCATCTGCAACAGGTCCTCAGCTGCATTCTAAAATTAAAACAAACGATTCCACTCTTTTATCAAATTAACAAACTAGATATGGCAAATATGTGTTATTTATTATCACATAAATGACAATATCTATTTTGATAACGAATCATATTTATTTCCGTTATTAATTTTAACTAGGATAGTTGAAAACTGTTTAATCATGCGCGAGCATTTTGAAGAACTTTATGAAATTTTACTAGTAAATTGTATGGTAAAGTTTCAGAAAACCGTCATTGTTCAAAATGCCACGTTGTTCCACGATTACATGATTTTCACAGGGTAGATTTTAAAAGACAATTCTCTCTCCGTGTACTATAAGACTGTTACCTTCGAGCGGAAAAGCGAGGCAAAAGTTCCGCCATGTCTTGCTAGGTGAATGAAGTAGTACAACATGTGCATCGGTCAGTCAGTGACACGCATGCCCTTAAGCCTCACGTTTCAGCCCGAAGGTAGCAGTGTAGTAATGTATAGAAATCTGTGGCGGGCTCACACTCTCCGCTCGAGGATGTGGCTATCTCTCGTCGCCGGATATCGGATCTCTGGGTGTTGGAGAAGTAATAATAAACGCCGGAAGGAAGGTCAGCGCGCGACGGCGGGCACACGCGACTCGTTTAAGTGTCTAAAATAGACGTGAGCGCGCGCGGCACATGCCAATGACCCAAATTTCCCTTATTCCCGAATCAGCCTCGCGCACGATGTCGCGATAACATCGCGGCGAGAGGATGGTTCGTCCCGTCGCATCACCGCCCAATATTCCGTAACTCGGCTATCACGTCATCGTTTGCGAACGGTGGGTGAGGTGCGGGTGTGGCGGATATGCGATGGAATTATGCAAAGCGGATCTTCTTCGGATCTATTTCGATCGAGACAGTCGCGAAAGGAGCCCGTACCAAAACCGGAGTTTTTCTTACTCCCTTCATTCGACATTTCGAAGAAAAAGACATCTTTTAGACACGCATGTTCTCTGGGTAATGATTGGAGAGCGCGAAATCTCGGTCCCGACGTCTTAATTGTTTTTGGATTTGCTTTTCAGTAATCGTTGTAGTTTTAGTAGTGTGCACTGAACAAAAGGATAACCCAATTCAATCTCTGCGTTTGCCAGGTACCGTGCAACAAATTCGAGAATATGAGATAAACGATACTTTTCACGCGTGTATAACACCAATAGTTAGAAAGGTTAACAACGACTTAAGACACACGATATATGAAACATGAGCGAGAAAAGACCGCGTGATATTTAAAATTGTATACCGTAGGGCGATTTCGTCTCCCATTTTTGTCCACACGAACATCGGTAGGTTCGGCTCGAAGGGACTCTCCGACATTCTCTATCTTCGTACTGAGGCCGCGGCCACGGAGGAGCGAGACCGCGGAATCGCGTTATACACGCAGCCGTGGCCGACCAAGTTCTCGCTCGAGGTCTCTACCGATCCTCATAAGGAAACGCGTCTCATGGTCCCGCGCCGTTTACTTGGCGTAAAAAGGCCGCGCCACATCGCCGTCGAATGATGACCGGCCGATTAAGATTACCTTGGCGGTTCACGGTAAATCGTCGGCTGTACTTGACCGACACTCGTGAGCGTCAGACATTAAGAGACCTCGATACCAGCCTTCTCGATTCTGAAGGAGGAAACGTTGAGGAACGTTTCTTGTATCTTTTCGTGAGGTGGTCTCTTTGAAAGCTTCCAAGGTAAATTTATTAAGCGGCGTGAAGACTCGGGCGTTGGAAATGAAAAATACGGAACAATTAAATGACACGGTTAGTTAGCGGCGTAGAGTCGTTCTCTCGGGCCGATCGACGGGGAATTTCTGGCGCATTTTCCAAGTCTAGCTTTCGGGTCCCGTTAACGAATAGCTCAATGTTTTGCATGAAATCTCGCACTTTGGATGTATTTATAATCGGCGATGACGGACGTGTTGCACCATTGACCTTCGATTGGAAAAGATACAATCTCGATGAGAAATCGAGATGGCGGGTCTGTCAGAGAAACGATCGTCAGAAATGACGAGGTGCGGCGATAAATCACTTTGGATGACGAAGATCGTATAAATTACGGTTGTAATACAATTTGTTTTTCGCTACCGTAGAGCTAATCGTGATATGTGCTAAAAATATTTGCTGCCATAACCATAAGTTTCTACACCACAGCAAACGGAAATTTTTTCTGTGGGTGTAGTAGCACAATATATTGGCACAATATTGGGAGATAATTCAAATCTAGCATTCCCAATATTGGTCCAATATTATAAGACGGACGCCTTCTCTAGTTTAACCAACATGTCTATTTAGCAATATTGCTTTAATATTGTATGAATATTCTTATTGCATTGTTAAACATTGTTAAATATTGCCAATACACTTGCAATATAAATTTGATATTATGTAATTATTATCGTGCAACATTTACATTTAATCCATGGCCAATATTGGCTTTACGTTGGCTTACAATATCGGTCAAAGCATTTCTAATATAACCAACATTGGACCAAGTTGATGTTTAGCCAATGCACTGTGCTACCAGGGTAGCTGTCCAGTTTTCACAACTAATTGTAAGATTTAATAGACAAGACTGCTGCACGGAGGCGCATCCCGGAAGAGTGCACCATGCGCCGCTGAAACGCGCGATTCTATCCGGCTTGCGCAAAAAGTGATTGCGTCACCGCACAAGAGATCACTGTGAGGCTCGGGGATCATTTTCCTAAAGAGAGCTCGTGCAGTCCGAGCTCTCGCGATAAAACGAGTGTTACGCGATTGCGTAATCGTTTCCGAAGGCATTGATTATATTAACGACGCGGGTATATCAGTTACGAAAGTAGAAAACGCACGTGTTTACATAAAATTATGAGCCAATAATGAATTCACGGTTAATAATAAATTGAGCCGCGTTGCGAATCAAGTATCGACTTATTTCTGTCTACGAAGATTAGCAAAGTATTGTGTGGTCGGCAGATGCGACGCCTAACGACGCAGGCGCTCATCTGCGCTTTCAAGCGCGAAGCACGCGGTCGAATGTTTTTATCGCGCTCGGAATTTACGAATATTACGCGGCGAAGATAACGAAAGGGAAAAGAACTCGTTGCACGCGTGCGATTGACGTTAAATTTAGGCGGTGAGTAAGCTACGCGCAAAAAAGACGCCGCGTTTAAAAATACGCGATACTACTCGATCGGTCCGCTGAATGGGCCAATATCGGTTTTCTTGACCCAGATACGGCGATTAATCAGCGAGAGGAATGGAAAGGGAGATATTTCGCGTGCCCTCTCCGTTCGATAGTCAATTAATGTAAGAAGAAGGGGTGCGGTCTGTTTCAAGGGAAGCAAAAGAACGCGGAAGATCGATGTTGTACGACGAGCAAAATTAGGTCGCCTCGAAGACCCTGATCGATCGATCGTTCGTACAAAGGGCAAAGGGAGAGATGAATTGATTTCAGTTTCGCGATCTCGGTGTTGCGCGATCGAGCATGTTTTTACACGTAAGCTTTTATCATTTGAATTTCAACTATTGGAAAACTTCCAACGAGTATCGTCAGTCAGAAATTTATAAAATCGTGTTTTGTATTAAGCAAAACAGTACCGAGTAAATAGGTGCATTCGGCACTAAAACTGCTCATTGAGAAGCTGAGTAGCGATAGAATGTGATTGATTCGTGACTTTGGATCCAATTATGTCGATTCGGTGCGACCAGACATAAAAACATCTTTACGGGTATAACAGCAGGTCGATCTTACAAGCTTCGTCGCATTGATCGCATTGATTGCGTTTATCAGCCGTCGCGATTCCGAAAACGCAAGGTCAATATTTACGCGGGGAATGCCAGTGTCGAGTAATTTCCACGCATGAAAACGCACCGTCGTGGCAATCGTTATTCACGAGGCACATCTAAAAATAAGATACGCGCGATTTTGCCATGCAAAATTTTATAACTCAGTCACGATCAACGGTGCGCGGCCTTCCTTTACCTCTTACGTTAGAACGCAGTTTCTTGTGCCTTACGATTTTGACGAAATGTCCTCCTCGGTATTTCGAAGCATCTTTTCTCGCTTTTACTACCTAGAATGGCGATGCGCGATAAATTACGTCATCGACGTAATTGCGTCAAAGCAATAATTTTTAACGATTTGCAGAAGCAGCGAGATCGAGCATTAGAATGAAAATTGCAGCCCGACGCAGCGCGATTGACGCGATCGCCGCTGTTAAGGCTGGTCTACAATACATGGAGTAAGCTGGAGTAAGCTGGAGTAAGGAGTAGGAGTAAGGAAATAAATCCATTTTATTTCTTACTCCTACTCCTTACTCCAGCTTACTCCAGCTTACTCCATGTATTGTAGACCAGCCTTTACAGCACCGCGAAGCGCTCCGTGAATGATGAGTTACATCACCATCCGAGCCACCTTGTTTACGCGTGACCGTTGGCGCATTCTGTTACCTTTGTCATCGACAATTTAACGTTCACTTTCAATCGGACCGTTCGATTAAGAGGCAACCCGTCGTTCGTGTCACGACCGTCGATCCGAGCCCGGGTCCAGGGCGCTAAATGTCATCCGACCGCGATCTTGCGCGCACCGTACTCACTTCGTCTCGGGGAGGATTTCTTATCGATGTATCTCCTCTCTTCTCCCTCGGGATCGATCGCGCAGGTGCGCCGTGCGTGCCGCGACTCGGGGAAACCGGACGCGAGACCGCGAGACTTGACGTGACGTGACGCGAGACGCGAACGAGCGGCGCGGAGGAGATCGCACGCAGGTCCAGCGGACGGACGGACGGACGCGCGCGCGCGTTCCGCTCGCAATAGGAGATGACCAGAAACTGTGCCAAGAACAGTGCCGCGGCGGCCGGCCGCGCCAAACCGCGATGTGGCATACACCTACGACGCCGTTATACACCTACATCGGTGGTACCAACACCGTCGCGCGCGGAGAGGTCTACACGCGCGTGTCGATCCGCTACGCGGTGCGCTACCGCGAGGCCTACGCGAGCGTAGCGTGGTATCGCTGCCGCGAGATGTGGTAGAAGAGCAGAGCGAGAGAGATTGCAAGCGCGCACGCTCGATCGTACTTTTTTTAATATAAATCGCTCGCGGAACTTAATCTTCACCTCTGGACTCGCTCCCGAGGGTGAACTTTGCCGCTCGTGCATCGCGTCGAGAAAGTCACAGCGACTTTCCACGCGCGCCTCTCGGAGACTCATCTCGACATGGCCGTCAACTCCGAGAATTCACAAGTTTCACGCGGCTAATTTCCTCACGGGTATGGAAAAAGACGTTTCGCCTCGCCCGCGCCGTCCCGCTCGATCTTCCTCCGAGACAGAGAGAGAGAGGTCATATTCGAATCTTCCGCGCGCGTGGAAACTTTGCGCGCGCCGCTGCCGCGCTGCGCGAAATGGGACGAGAAACTCGCGATATTCGAGTAGGCGCGAGGCAGCTGCGAGGTCGAGAGAGAACACGCTTCTGCGTTTTTAGAAATATATAATGAAATTATCAGACGCCCGCGAGCGCGAATAAAATTGTTTCGCGAAAAGCGTGAAATTGTGACACGAGTGCCCTTTCCAATGTGTTGGCCAACTCTGGTGCGCAATTCACGGGGAATTTACAGAGAACGACGTATATAATTACGTATCTCGCCGTTACGCCACAATGTAATTTCCGCGATAGGTTCTCGAAGAAAGAGTCCAGGACGGAGTCGAGGCACCGCACCAACGTGCTCGTTAGTTTGCGCACGTCGGGCGACCTCGAGATAACATCGCGATGAACCGACTGACATTGCCGCTACGTTTGCGCGCATAGGTAATGAGTGGTTTTACACGCGAGGACGACGATTCCGTATCGCTGAAACAAGAGCATTCGCTCGATTCGCTCCGGCAACTCCCGAGCAAAGAGATTGTCCTCGTACGTATACGCCAGCCGCTCATAATTATTCCAACGACTTGAAGAGATAGAGAGTTACATCCGGGAAAAGTGATGTTTATCGATGAAAACTATTTCGCATGATAAGACTACGAGAAGACAAGATTAGACTACGAGATAAAAAAAAAGATTATTCAAATTAATCTTATTGCTTTCTAAACTTTTTCCACTTGTCCAACTAATTTCATCATTGTTTCTGCTGATATTGTTTTCTATACCTCTTGCAATTTCTTCCATATGTTTTCTTTGTTTGTAGGAAACATCGATTTCCAACAAATCAAATAGTAATGTAATATCAATTTAAGGATAATGGAAGATAAACGTTGCAACGTTTAGGGATCAAGAATAATAATTGCAATAATTAGGTCCAGCCTGGACCGATTTATTCTTCATCATATTTCGTCTAAAATTCTGAAACTTTATGTATAAACTATTTAAAAAAATTAATAAGTATTATTTTAGAAAGCGTATCTTGGAGGAAAACGGAGAGAATGGCAAGTTAAAGGTTGCTATTACAGTCAAAAGTGCGACAAATTTTCTCGACAGTCTGCGACATGCCAGACTGCATTGAAATGCAGAAGCGTCAAACCAGTTGCAGAGTTTCAGGGATAAGCTGTCTTACTGTCCAAATGTGTGCCACGAATATTCCTTTCTCCGTTTCTTATTTCCTTGTTTCTTTAAATGAAACTTTTCATATATAATTTTAAAGCGTTAATCCAACTGGAAAAATCTCCAAAGTTTCAAGTCAATATTGTGTTCTCGGTGCAGTTGCGAAACGGTTATACTAAAGAAAACGAAACATCGGGATTTTACATCGATGGCAGGCGAACGTGCAGTTGTTCTGTCTACTTAACCTGTCAGGTTTTATTTATTATAAAAATTATCTGTTTAATGAAGAAAATTAAAAATTAAAAAGTTCAAGTTGAGAATGATTTTAAGGACGAAAGATACGCTCGAGGTCGAATTAGTTTTGGAGTTCCGGCTACGCGATGTTTGGCTTTGTGTCTCTTGAGCTGCAAATATTATCCATAAATGTCTTGGGCCTGGTAAGTGTCTCAACAGTGTATGTGATTTGCGGCAGCACCTCGTACAATTACCACAGAGTTGGACAATTCTTTTACAATCTAATAATTCGTGAATCGTAAAGAGGTTAATTTAAATGCGCACACTTTTAAATTATATCCGTTGTGATGCAAGCTTGTCAATTACTCAAGACTTTTACATACATGTCGATCACCCAAATTATCTCGGTTGCTCTTACATAATTACGATATAAATTTTACATCATTATTGATTGCACTAATGAATAAATTGTAAATAAAGCTTTGTGCGAAATATAAATCGGAAGAATGTGACGTACGCGTAATGACACTTTTTGCAAGTATGTTGCATCATTTTGTCAAGGCCGGCAGCACTTTGAACTGGAGCTGGCTCAAGTGGGATCGGCAGCTGGAGAAGATCTCGAACTTCTCGGTTTCGCAATCCGACGAATCAGACGTGGCGAATATCGACTGGCTCAAGACGAGTTAGCATCCCGTCTTACACATAAAGTGTCTTCGGGATAAAGACGCTTTTTGTATCGTGTCGGTGTGATTTAAAAATGCGTCTTGTCATAGAAGCTACAGCTAAGGATGCAAAATTTTCTCAGTTCTGTCGTGGATCGTCGTCGCCCGGTTTGTCATCGATCGCATCTCGCTCCTCGCGTACGTGGCTAATATCTACACGATATTGGCGCGAAATCGGCAGAACCTGCTCCTACTTTGGATGGTGCTCAGTCTTTTCAAAAATATCGCTTTGGAGATCACCGTGATTGTCATTACCTTCCTGCTGTGGCACAAGGGAAATATCTCGACGTCGCTCCTCGTTAAGTTCATCGCAGAGAAAACGATATGGCTAGGTAAATGAGTGAAAGTAGACTTGGTAGTCGCAGGGAGGTACGCGGAGAGAAATTATCTTATAAAATTTATCCTGAAAGTTATGTGCTCGTGGGAATCGCGTGATTTTCGGGATGGATTTTAAGAGAAAATTCTCTCCGTGTACGCAATTGTAGCGCAGACAGGGGATGCCTTACTTACGCTTACCGAGTTCTTTGCGAAATTGCGTTGATCGTTGCAGCTTTCTCGAGTTGCAAGTGGTGCACGACTTTGAAATGGTACACGCAGCTGCAAAGGATGGCGAAGATCCGTCACTTCGCAATAATCGCGCGGACAAGTATCGCGAGTTTCGTCCCCGGCAGAGCTGGTCATTCTTTGGACGACGAGTGTCTCGGCGTAGCGATAAGCAGACGGGGCAAGTACGCGAGTCTGGTGTATCTAGGCAGGCTGTCCGAGCAATTGGCCAGCAGAGCGAACGCCAAATCCTTAACGAGTCTAGTCACCGAAGACACAAAGGACGACGCGAATGATGACAATTCCGACGCTAACGACTTGAGCGTGGCTGAGAAATCGATGAGGATGTTGAACGTGACCGCGGAGGATGTGATGGACGCGCGTGCCAGGATACAGGAGCGATCCTACTGGGACGAGCAGGACGCGATTACGAAGACACCTGAAGCGTTAGAAGTGGCGCAGTTTCCTTTGGAAAAGGACGACGAAGGAATGATCGATAAATCGACAACTGTGGATCGCGCTTCAAGGAAAGAAGACATTATGGGAAGTCCTGAGATGAAGAACGAAGAGGGGAAGAAGAAACTGGTGTTGCCTAGGAACCAGGAACATATCGCGTTGACAAAAAGTAACGACGTCACGTCTGACAAAATGGACAATCGGGCGAAATCAACGGAATCTCGTGTGGCACCGAAGAAGAAGAGAGGAAAAGAGGAAGAAGGGGTCGCAAAGATTGTACAGTGTCCCTCGTTCCAGAGTGCGAGGAACACGGAGGCTAAGCCATGTGCCTCCCTCGTGAGAAAATTGGAAGCGAGGCTCTACCCTATTCCCGCAAGCCAAAGGGAGAAGTGGACCGACCGAGTTGATGGAAGAAGGCACCAATTAACGCCAACTGATTCGGGCGCGAGTAAGAAAGAACGTTATAAAAACTCGAAAACATCATGCGCGTGTCATCGTGCCTTGCGCAACAGTTGGAAAAAGCACACGCAATCAATCGGTAACGGTGGCAAGAACGTTGATGTTAATGGAAAAGAATTTCGGATTTCTATTGTCATACCTATTGTCAATATGCAGAGAAGCAAGCTTGACAAAACTGCGTTCAAATATTCAGAAACGTACCGTTTGAAGAAGCAGATCGAAAACTTGGAGGAATCTCGCAGGAAACGGTCCTGGGAAAGCAGGTCTTTGGCCCAAACTGCACGCCCCTCGGGATATGCGAGGAACGTTATCGATGCGTCTGATAAATTGTCCACTGTAAATTGCCGAAGAAACGTTCAGGCTGAAATTCGCGATGAATCGAAGACGACGAGCGACTCTTTGAGCGAGCGATACGGATTGAAACACAAGCAGCTGCGAAGTAGACGATCGGCCGACTTGCGCTCCGTCTACAATGTGGCGTCATTTAGAGAAAAGAATTACGCGGAGGCGCGCGAGACCAAGACGAAAACTTCAGAGATATGTAATAATTTCACGTCGACGAATAATGGAGGGACGAGAGCGAGAAGGAGTCGCAAACTGTCGATCGAGGAAGGCGAAGCGATGAGAGCTTATAACGAGCTTACTTTGTCGGAGGCTAAGAGAGAGCTGGAAGTGAGAGAGGAACGCGACTCGTCGTTGAATTACGGACGATTGACGGAGGAGTCTGAGGTGGTAGAGATGAAAGTTTCAAAAACTTGTAACGATCCCACCTTGCCGGAAGATAAAGAGGAGACGAAGCATAATTTGTCGCCGAGTTCCCAGCGATCGGTTGATGAACGAAGCGCTACGAGAGCTCGTAACGAGCTCACACGGTCGGGAAGCGAGAGAGAGCCGCGCGCTGAGAGAAAAGGCGATTTATCGAGAGACGAAACGCCATCGGAATGCGAAGAACATGTCGAGACGAGCGTCTCTAATCGTCTTTCAATAGATAGCTATTACGAGAATATCACGAGCCCCGTCATACATCGGAACGCGAACCGCGGCTCCAGTCCAAGTGATCGTTGTGCAAGACACATTGCCGTGCACAATATGTCGCTGAATCTCAGGGAGATGACGAGAAACATCGAGTGCACCGCTCATCCGCGGGGCATTGTGCTAACCAACAAGAATCTGCACGGGCGATTCTTGGAGAAGGACAGATCTCGTGAAAGTCAACAGCGCGACATTGTAGACGACAACACAGTCAGCACGTTGCACAGCGCTTTCTTCTTCAAGCCTGAGATCATCACGCGGGCCTTCCGGCGCGCTCAGGCCAGGCTCGACGAGTCTTTCCCGAGTTTCTCGACGTTCCGCCGGGAGAGCACGGAGTTCGCCTGTCGGATAAACAACGAGATGGGAAATGATCGAAACACCCTTGCAGACTCAGTGTTCTCCAACGCGAATGACAATCGCGATACCAGAGGCGAACGCGGCCACGATCTGTGCATAATATTCGTCGGTCGAGAACGGATACCGAGCGAATCGGAAACCGTGATCGCGGAGGATCCTGTCGGATCCCAGGTGAACGCGCGTTCCAGCATCGAAAGTACCTCGATGAACATTTTGATATTCGACCAAGATTGCGATCGCACGGAGAGCGCGATCGATTTGCCAGCTCGATTGATCACCGGTGTACCAAGGGACGATATTGAGACGTCGGAGAGAGGTATGCGCGATGTTGCGTCGCCGAACCAAGAGAACGTAAGTAACGTCAGTGTATATAACAATTCTCAATCTCGAGAATCTAATGCGGATGCTATAAATCTCGATGAGGAAAACAATAAACGTAATAATGCGTATGTTGCCGACGATACGGTCCATGAAATTGAGCGCACTTTGAATTCAAATGATAATTGTCCGGCTAACGTTACATCGTATGGTTCGTTAGAAAAATTACATCACTCGAGGGACGAAAACGCAATCGATATTCATTCTAAAAACGAGAATAATTCATCTCTCAAGAGCACTTGTAACGATACAACTTTACAATTGTCTGATAATAACAATAATTTTGATAAAACGGAGAAAAGTATGTTTAATCGTGCTTTTAAGAATTCTTCAAAATTGTCCGTCCCCGGGCCATCGTTGTTTATTAAATCAGATAATCATGCATTAAGATCGTGTGACGAAGAGCTTGAAAAATTGACGCAACTTTCAGACAGCGCGACTTCATTGAACGATCAAAGAAAAGAATCAATATCGAATTTAAAAACTACGAATTGTGATACAATTTCGCAGTTTCGGAATGTCGAATCTTTAAAATTAGAAACCACGATACGAGACGGTGCGAGGAGCACAAACGAAAGTAGAGAGGTTTACGAAGAAACGAGCCAATTTTTAGCGGAAAAAATTTTCAAAATGCATTCGGACGATAACCTCCAGCGGGACGATAGTTTTTATTGCACGTACGAGAGAAATGATGATCCAGGAACACCGGTTTCGTTGGAAGACGGCAGTTTGATGGAAGAGTTTCTCAGCGATCCCATACCGCACTTCAACTCTTCTTGCTCTTAAGTAAAAACACAATTCTCGGCAACAGAAATTGCGCGTGTTGTTAACTTGTAACGTAAATATTTCGTCTCTAAACAAAATTTAATGTAGACATATCGTAAAGTGTATCACCTGTTCAACAATTGATCTGTACAAGAGAAAGATAAGATAGCAAATGTCATAAACTTGGTTAATTATCAATTTCCATTATTAAATTACAAATACAAGTTTTATTACTGTGCAATAGAAAGATATTACGATGCAACTCTGAATTGGCAAAGTTACTATTACGAAACGTCATTATTATCATTTTAGGAAAAATGTACGTCTTCAATTTCCGATATAAGTATTAATGATATTTGTAGTTGGTGATCGATCTTGACATCTCTTCTCGCCGTACGTGCAAGGTAATATTTGAGCAGTCGTCACAAATTAATAGAAATGTCACACGCGATATTTTACTTTTATCAGACATAATTTTATATATCTAGTAAAAGAGTTTGATACAAATACAGTTATGTATGTACAAAATAGATTTATGCTAAAAATTATATATATATAAAATTGTCTAATCATTGGTAACTCGGAAGACTTGCACTGCTTATAGTAGTAGGAATATTGAAATAACGTGCTTGTGCTAAACAAGCAGTTTACAATCATATTGTATACAGTTTACAATCGGCGGTAATCAGGAATGCAATAAATAAACGGAATAACTTAAGAAAAGAAGGTCTCTCTGAACAATTTGATGTTTAATGCGCTGGAGACTTCGATGCTTAGATTTTAAAATAAGAGACATTTCGATGCCGAGAAATCCAATTAGAGAGAATGAATTTAACATGAGGTGTGTGATTAGAATTTTCTCAGCAAGTATCGTCGAGGCCCGGGTCCGAGTCAGGAACTACGTAATTAGGATCGCAGACGGTATCCCTGACAGCCTCCTTAACGTTCGCCTTGAACACTCTGTAGTTAATACTCCCGCTATTCAGGGTCCCGTATAAATACATGGGCAGTCGGTTTGAGAGCAGCCACACACTTTGATCCGGTTCGTGGTCCACTTTAATGTCGTTCGGAAACACCAAGGACTCGTTGCTAGTCCCAATCACCCCCAGATTCTGCGGGATGTGCTCCTTCCTGGTGTCCCAGCACCACACGGAATCCCTGGTGACCATGTTGAAGAACATGACGCCGTTCTTGTCGATGGCGGACCCCGAAGAATGGCCATAGTCCTTGGCCCTGGGTTTCCCGACGGGCATGAACTTCTCCGTGTTGTATTCCGCGAGTCGCTGGTCGTTGAAGACCGACGCGGACACGGCGAACTCCCGGAAGCTGGACATCGGATGGAAGAAGAGCGTTCTGTCGTTGTGAATGTCCACGGGACTGAGCGCCATTCCGAATATTCCGTCGGTCCATTGGAACTTGATACCGTGCAGCTCGTATCTGGCTGCCAGGGGATCGGGATAGAAGAAGTGATGCTCAATTCTGAAGGTGGAGTCCTTGTAGAAGTCGTACACCACAATACCGTATCGCCAGACGTCGGCCAAGTACGCCACTGCGGCGCCGCAGTCGTTGTTTCTGACGTCCACCGCGATGTTGATGTACAGGGAGTCCTGTTTGATCTGCTCGTCCGGCAAGGTATACTTCCTGATGAGAGCGTCGGTGCGTAGATCGAAGATGAGTATGGCGGGCGGGCAGACCTGTTGGGATCTTTTGGCGAGCTCCGTCTTGCCGGAGTCGAGGACCCACAGTCGATCGCACTCGTCCACTTGAACTCGAAAGACTGACGTTAAACTCTCGCAGCTTCCTGGAAGAAGGTGAAACGAACAACAGGTATATCGTAGCGATATACTTTTCTTCAAATTGATTGACTTTTAGAGAGTAAGTTAAATAACAGCTCGATCTTATTCCGCTCAACAGGAAATAGTAAGATAAATTCACTTGTTATCGCGAGACAATTCGCGTGAGAAGCTCTTTTACTCAGTTTCCGCGTTTTCTTGATTGCATGGAAATAAAATTGCAATTTCTTATATTCCCAGACTCTTCGTGCGGATATAATTTACAATCAGTTCTCGCAGAATCTTCCTACACGCCGCGAATCGCTTTCTTATCTTCACCGGAGAACTCATCTGCAAACTGAACCTATATATATTCTTTTTATTTCTATCCCGACGCACCTCCAATTTCTAGTTGAATTTAAATTGACAAAGTAAAAAAAGCTCAACAGGTTCTCACTTCAGTAGTACTGAATATTCATCGTGCGTTTAAAGAACCAAATTTCGAGATTATCTAAAAGGAAAAAATGTAACTGGATTATTGCATACGGTAGTTAATTATCAAGAATAATCTCATACATATTAGGGCCTCGAAATTAGGCTAGAGGAAAACGACAAACAAGTTTTCGGATAATTAGCATGAAGGTAACCTGGTCGATGCCAGTGCCAGTCAGGGTACGGTCTTAATTTCGGGTTCCTCGTCTTGGAATGTCTGGGCACGGTAGCCAAAGTCGCCGGTATGCCGGTCTTCCATTTTGGCAGAGTAATGAAGACTTTATCGCGCCAAACCTCCAGGCCCAGGGGCAAGTTATTCTCCGCGATGTAGTCGCCCTCGAATATAGCATTATCTCGCGCGTCGATACTGTCGAATTCAAAATCAATCGTGGACCACGCGTACACCTGTTAAAAAAACGATAGAATTACACGAAACACCTGTTGCGAAAAGTCACAACGATTATATCTTATTTAAATGCAGCATATAAAGAAGCTTGCGCAAAAATGCTGACAAGTATTGTCCTGGATTTATTACTTCTACATTAGTCGAGCGACTTTCTTCACTTCTGACATTACGGTTTAGAATCACCGGTGTACAGATATTGCCAACTCGGACACTTTCGCCTAAACTTGCAAACAAAAAACGTACTAGTTCCATAGCGGGACCAACGTAGTCGTCTATGATGCGTCCCGGCTCGAAGCCGTCGCCGAAATCATGAAAGTCCAGTTGATTGACCGAGTGAGGATCCGCGCGAAACATGTCGATGGCTCTTCCAACGGGTCTCGAAGGGCCGCTTCGTCCCAGATTCGATGTAGCAACGTGATGCCGCGATCGCGGCGTCGATCCGTAAAGTTTGCCTACGTTCGTGGATACCGTCGATTTTTCCTCCGACGGCTGGTTGTCGCAATTCCGTGGCGAGCCGGCGTGTTCATCATAAGCCGATGAAGAATCTTTGTAATTGATGTTCTAGGAGGCGCGATAAAATTTCACATTATTATTTCAAAAACAATTCTAAGCGAGCTAATAAATGTGAATGACTTAGATCTTCGGTCGTAAATAAGCAGCGAATAATTGTTTTTAGATTTTTTAAATCGAAATTTAAAAGAAAAATCAGTTAAAAATGATAAAAATTAAGGAAGATCAACAGACTCGAAAAATAAAATTAAAACGGAACAACGAATTAGGCAATAGGAGTCGACACAAGACGTTATTTAAACATCATTTGACGTTTTGACAATTATATTTTTATTTGATGTATTAAACTATTCACACATAACGTCCGGCGACTGCTATTTGTTGTTCTTTTTTAAGAATAATTACCGATAAATTTATAATTAATTAAATAATTGAACAATTGACCAGATAACTAATAATTTACAATGAAACGATCTATGTCGCGTCTTACGTGCGTGGAAAAAAAATGTGGAGTGGAAATGGAAGGAGTTAACGGCAATGCGGGTGCCTGAAGATCCCTGGATAGAATATTGGGGCCCGTGTAAGCCGCAAATTTTGGGACAGCCAGTAGTGACATTGACAGCAACCATGGTATCGTGCTCGCCATGCCTGTGAAGCAGAGTTTAGGATGTGCCTTCTGCGTGAGAAAATTTGCATTTTTATGACGCGAAATTGCGTCAAATTATCGCGTTCTATTACAACTGCCGCGAATTACGAGTCATTAAGAGTTACAAGATTGAACGAACGAAAAGGACGAGCGTTTGACGTTCCCAATACGATTAGAAATGCAGTGAGATTTTCGCAGATCCGACGACGGCGGTAATGTTATCTCCTTTATTGAGGTAAGTGGGTCTCTGCGTGCGCGAGGCAACCATCAATATTCGATGGGGGCACCGTGTGCTCGATTAAATGTTAATCATCTGTCAGCATGTGACATACGATGCATAACGTCCGAAAGCGCCGCATTATTCGCTGACACGAATATCGGAGCAAAAGCGATTTGCAATGATGAGTCCGCATCGTTCCTCGCGTTTTTGTATTTTTTTTCCCCCTTACTCACTTCGAGCGGCGTAGTCGGTCCTCTTCGGCGTCTATTAATTTGAGACTCCGGAGGCTCTCCGGGAGGCGACGTTAAACTCGGAGCCTATCGCTCTCGCCCTAACGGTTGCTACTGTCGGCGATGTCTAGCGCGAGGGAGACGAGTGCTCGGGCTGGCACCATGGATGTTACACGACTACCATATTCCACTATCCGGGTCGTAAGTGTGTCTTAGATCCTACGAAAGGAGAGAATGGCGAATCCCTTCTCCCGAAGATGATTTTCCCTCTCGTCTGTATTACGAACTACGGGCTCTAAGTCGCGGTATAGGTCATTGGTGGACGGGTTCATGGGAACTCGCGCATTTGCTCGATTAATGCATCGCGAATGAGGATCGAGGGCACCAAACGAAGGCTCCGCGGCTCCCCTTTTTAATTCCCAGTTTAGCGAAAACCTACGGTAAGCAATTGTACCGATAAATCTTGGTTTCTTACGGCGGTTGCAAGTTTTGATCTGGTTAGGTGTTTCCTCCAGGGGAATTTTAATAACTGTAACTTGTCCTTCGAAAGGAGCAAAGTATGTGAAATAGAAACAGAAACGCATATAGAGAGGAACGTCTCGTAAAAAAAACGGAAGCCATCCTGATGATTGCGCGAGCATTGTCTGGGGAAGGCGGTTTACAGCGCCAGCAAGCACCATAATTGCGTTTTTACGAGGCGACACCGGGCGTTTCTTTTTGTTCACCGCGCTCCCCAGGTGAAACTCGTTTGAATTTTACAACATTGTAACAATACGGATGCTGCGTAATTCAAATGCCCGCGTAGGGCGACGCGCATATTCACGCGAAACGTTGCACGACGCTGTTTTAACGCTCCGCCTCGAGTTTATACCTCGATGAAAATGTTAATGACTTGTTACTTTCCACTTTTAATTCTCGCGATTAGACAAACGCAATTTGCGTAATAAATCAATAAATTGCGATTAAAGTCATCAATATTATTACGAGTGATAATATCTAATTAAGAAATAATAAATATGCCTGGCATATGATGACAAATGTGATCGTGTTGCATAAATATGAAATTCCATATTATTGAATAACTTAAAACTTTTCGTAATTATACGGCATCCATCTTCTTATTTAATTACATTGAATTTAGATGTCAAATTACAAACTCCCAAGTACCTACACGGTTGTGAAGAGGCCGATTATAAATTTCATGCTGACATTTAAGGACTCACGATGTCTGTACGGCAAGTCGTGCTGCCTGCCGTGGTCCCGGAAGTCATAATGATAGTTGAGACTAGATTCATCCCTGGTGTTGCCGAAAGTATAATCAGGGGAGGCGTAGAAATAGCTGGGTCGGCTCGTTCTCCACAACGGTCGGTACGATAACCATCCGCTTCTCTCCACACCGTTGCTCCTCTTCTTTCTCGTCATGGCATGTCTGGAAGTAATGCCGATAATTAAGCTGTCAGAGGAAAGTTGAGACCGTCACGATGCAACGTTTATCCGCCGGATAATCGTATTATGGATTACGAGTGCCGTTTCTTCGGCACGTTGCGTAAACGCAGAAAAAGCGATCCGCAAATACTGTTATGTCAAACACGATTAATCTTGTTGTTCAGATGTGCGTACTCACAAGCATGCGTACGATCTGTTTACTTGGTTGAAATAAGAAAAGAGTAAATGTAATCAGAAAATGCATGAATACTGCATTGAAAGTGAAGATGTCATATATTTTCAACAAGTGTGTAAAATCAGCGTATTAATGAATACATAATATATCATGTACATATATGTGTCTTGCCATTGAAACATTACATCAATTTGTTTATTCTTTAATTATTTTCTACAATTTACGTGGTTTAATTAAGCTTGTTTCGGACACGACATACAAATATAATGCGATTTCAATAATTCAACCGTCAATCGGCGTACACTTTTTTTCTTCAGCGAAAAACGCTGCGATAATTGCGTCAATATGCCACAATAATTTCGCGGTTACGCACACGGAATGTTATTCGATGCAAAAACGCATTCCGTTGACAAAATGATAATTTTTTCCTAAATGCAACAGACGAAAGGGGAAAGTCATAAACCTAGATGTGGTTAAACAATTACATATTTCTTCCAAAATTTCGAGAATTAGACAAGTTACACGGAAGACTAATTTCCAAATTAGAGTGTGCATAAGAATGTTTAAGTAGTTATTCTGGAAAGAAAATTAATCCAACAAAATAATAATATATTTATTATGTTAATAATATTCTTGCTAGAGCATTAATAATTTTCTCTCAAGTTCTAGTCAAAATAAATAATCTGAATTTTAATCAGTATTTTTACTGAAGCGATGGAGGTCTCCTAATTACGCAGATGCCTTCAGCTTTCTAACTGCAATTCTTATTTACAAAAAGTGGATTTCTTTTTTTTTCATTTTATTAATTTTAATTTCTCTTTATAACACACACATACATACATAATTATTTTAATATTTAAAGAACTCAATCTTTTCTTCATTTCTTCCGCTCTCTTTCTCTCTCTCTCTCTCTCTTCACATCGATTCGAGACGAAAGTAGAAGAAATTCAATTCGCATCGCTGAAATATATGGGCAAAGTATACATCAGATTATAGCCGCGTATAAACATGAGTCCGGTGAAGTCTGCGATGCAATTGCGATCATTAGTTCCACACGCGGCGTATGCACTTTTCTTCGATGACGCGACATTTCGCTGCTCAAGCTCACGGCCGTCGCGAAAGGATCGCGCATTCTGCCTCTCCTACTCTGATCGTCCGAGTTAAATACGGGCGCGAATTCACGCTAGCCTGAAATTGTGTAGCTTCGTTCCGATGACTCGTTCGGCAAGCGAAGCGAGACGCTCTTTTCGATTTTAGCATAAATGCCACTTTCCACCGGAGATTAGGAGTACTTTCCGCTTTCGCACTTACTTCCTCCTGCGGCCGGCGCCGAGCATTTCATAAGCCGCATCGATACTTGGACACCGAGACCATAATTAACAATTTGAAAACCGAGGACTCACGAGGGATGTGCACAGTCACGAAAATTCACGCATCGTTTCGCGACAATTATCCCCGATGCGCCGATTATTACTGTCGTAAGTTCATGATGAACGATAAGCGACTGCAAGTATATGTACGAGCGAGGTATTACCGCACTGCCCCTTTTTTTTATAGTCGCACCACAATGTAATTATGCGCAAAAGTCACGTAATTACTTGCAGCACGCGATTACGGAAAGGTGAAGTACCCTGACTAGAGCAACGTGCTGTTGCTTCGACACTCTTGCAACGCGCACTGTATCTCTTCGCCAAACTTTCGTGATATTTATGCCCTTTACCGCACACCCTCTCCGTTTAAGTCTGCACCGTGATTCGTTATTTCCTTCCGATTCAATGCGTCCACTAGTCACCAGCCAAGTGTTGCCGTAACTATCAAAGATAAATTATCCGCACGACCTACAATGGCGAATAATATATCGTAACATATCGTATCGCTTCTGATCAATATGAAAATATCATTTTTCAAAAACAATTAGAATGTTCATGCAATATTATTCCATGTATTTTCTATTACGTCTCAAACATCGTTCGTTACGCACGCATGTTTCGCGAGAAATTTGCAATATACCATGAATTTTTCTAAAAATGCACATTGCTTTACTATTCGAAAGCAAAAACATGAAATTAATTTGTTTTAATCAGCTAAATATAACATGGAAGGAAAGAAAGAGAGAGAATATCTAAAGGCAGTTCGATATTTGACTTTTAATCTTACGCAATCGAAACACTTAAGAAAATATAAATCTCTTGTAAAGTGTTTATTTGGAGAAATAAAATTAACTTTGGCGAAACCAATCTTTGAGTAACAAACTAAATTTCTATTTTATCAGCGACACGCAACTTTTTCCAACGAGAACAGATTTAAGTTGAAATAAACAATTGTACTTTATGCAAGAAATTAACATAATGTACAATACACTTATTTATAAAAATAAGTATAAAATATTATACTATATGTGTACTACACTATTGTGAATGAAGAACGTGAAAAGTGAAATGAATTCATTGCGTATTCATTAAATTGTAACGCAAAAAGTGTATGCGCAGATTGTATCAGATGTGAGATGTTGTACACACATACATGTTAATAAGAACATATTTCGAAACTTTCAGTAGGTATACTAACTTTCTATTGAGGAAATAAATTAAAAATCCCTTAATCCGCGGTTGAGCCATACGATATGGTCTATTGGGTATTTAAAAATACGATACGGTTTACTGTGCATTTAAAACTTATACATTGATGATGGAATTTAAAGTTCACGTTACGTAACGTACTAAATTGATCTGAATATTGCTGTAAACTTGAATATTTTTATTTGTGTCTTTCAGACGAAATATATGCTTAACTAAACCGGATAAACGCGAAACTAATCTGATTTCTAACTCGCCATGCATTTACCACGCTCACTATGCATGTAATACGTTTCCTTAAGACTGCTTGTCAATCTGTATGGACACAGTCACTGCCCAGTATAGGCCGTCATTAACTCGCAAATTTTTTGATTCTTACTTGTTTCGCCTTAAGAAACTTTCCCTTGAAAACTCAATATCATTACCCGAACAGTTAGAGTTTTAAATTAACCATTGAGTGTAATTAGTAATAGAGTGTTACTGCACGTCACAAACATCTCGCAAAGCGAGATACTTGAATTTTCCTAACGATTTCGGTATCTTTTTACCGTTTGAATGTCTTTTAAACTTTTATAGTAATTACGAATTGAGCATATTTTCTATGCATTTCATTAATTCAACAGTTTCCTAACTGCGAGTCAGTTGTAGATAAGAGACGAGAAATTATCTACTATTTTCAAACTAACCAAGTTATATTTGTTGAGCAGGTTACAAATGTTCTGGTAGGTACAGTTCTAGGTGGACAAATCAGAGAATAAAATACCATTCAATGATATGATTACGGTTAGGAATTACATCCTGTATGGTTTAGTGGAGGTACTTTAATTCGCAAATTTTTCAAATCAGTAATCTCGACACGTTATGGAAAGACACAAGCCTCAAATAGAAAATGCATTTCCATGTTTCGTCATTTCCGAGATACCATCTAGGAATTGGAAACTTTCGCCCTTGATGGTGTAATTCGTGACTTGGTTGGATCACGAAGGAATATCGTGGACTCGAGTCGCCAGATTTCCGTGCTGTCGTTATCGTAAATTACGAGTCGGTATCCTGCGACAACTATCTTGGTGTGAGTACACCTGAAAAGGAAAATTAAAATTTTGCAAGATTGAAGCAACGTCGTGTAAATTTAGTTTTCTGTCTTGTTTTCAAATTACGAAATAAACGAGTTATGTAAAGCCAGCTGCTCCCTCCCCTTCTCTCTATCGCTGTTTTCCCCTCTCTCTCTCTCTCTCTACAATGCGCAATATGATAATTACTTTTTAAATTATTTTTGTTTTAGCATTTCATCTACTGTTTCTGTACGGGATATTTTCATTTTTAATTCCACTCTACATTTACAAGTGTCATTGTAACCAATGAAAAATTTGCAACTAATTAATGTTGAAACCATATTCTTTTTTTTTCAAGTAAATTATTTATTTTATAATATTACAGTTATAATTATAATCATCATTATTAATGACTTTAATAAATATTTTGTAACCAATAAACTTAAAATTTTATCGGTATTTTATAATTCAGAAATATATGTATAATCTAAAAATATTACCGAAATTACGATAAAAGAGTCGAAATAAATGTGTACACTTTGAAAAAGCAAATATTTCTAAAGAATTATTAACAATTAGAAAAGTGGGTAAAATTTTCGGTAAATTCCTATTTGTCATAATACTTTTGTGAAATAATGGTATTGCTAGCTTCAGAATACATTCACAGTTATTTTATTATATAATAAAGGATTTGTAAATATTATTTCTTAACAATAATATAGTAATAATGCGTACATTGCTCAGGGATATACATGAAATTAAAAATGCACGCGTATTTCGATACTTATTGTCTATTATTGTGAGTAAAATTAAAGAAAATATTTATTATACTAGGAACGGTAGTATCTTGTCTACTGTTTATTTCCGATGAGCATCAGAAGAAAGTATGGTACACGGTAAAGCTTGACTGGCACCACGAGTAGCTTCATGGCTCCTTGAGCTGATATATTTTACAATGATACACAAAATCTTGAGGATATTACGGAGGGGGGAGCAGTTCGTTGTTCGCATCGGGAGTATCAAGGTACGTGCAGTATCGCGCGTTCTTCAGCTATGATCAATAAAGAAAGTGTAATCGACTGGTCTGTGACTATGGAACGACCTCACGATCCAAGGGAAGTAGGTTGGTCTGGTAAAAATTGTTGGGAATGAATACGATGGCGGGATGAAGGTTGAAGGTGGGGAGCGGTGGTACTGCGAGAAGAAATTCGGATACTTGTGCCACCGGACAGACGTCACCGCCTGAAAATGCGAATCGTCGAACTCCCCGTGGTGCCACGATCTTCACTTGGCGAACATCGGCTTCCCGTAGTTGCGATCGCGGTCAAGGTTGAGACGCGCACCGTTACACTTGGTACCACGGATCAACTCGTCCACGTAACCGGCCTGTATCCGAAAGTTCGTCTCGTTCGTGCTCATAGTCGCGGTCATGAATTTTTGGAACGACGATGTGAGAATCCACAGCTCTTGACGGCCGTTTTTCGCAGTGATGATCTGCAATAAGTTCGATTATGGTGTTGATTGTACTACTGTAAATTTTGGAACAGAGAAAGTATCGTTAAAAAATCGTTGCTCGACTACTTTTAAGGCCTGCGTTCATGACGAAGCTAGAACTTGCTCCAAGTTCAAACACAGGCCTTTAGAAAGGAGAATATTTGATAGGTGCGTTTCCTTGAAGAGCACTAGAATTATAAAAGAAATTGCGCTGTCTACGAAAACGCGAATGTGTAATTAAATACAGCACACTTCTAAGCAGGGTCGCGAAGGAGAAACGAATTCGACCACTTGGTTAACGAGGGAAAGCGGGGATCGACCCTGAGCATAATTCCATCCCTTACTAAAACATTTCCACACATAGTAGATATCAATAATATTTTATCTTCATCATTTTCTTATTGAAAATGGCCAGTCATCGTACCTTTGAACCAGACGGGAATTGCAGTGTTTCGGGATTGACCATAACGATTTCTGTATTGGTGCCACCGTATTCAGGATATTTGATACTGTTCCAACATCCCAAAGCGAGATCTGACAAAAGGCCGAAGAAGAGAACCCCGTTCTGATCCATGGCTTGAGCGGCCGACTGCGATGACCTTTCCATAGCGAATGGACGGAACGCCCTTGGCGCAGAGTCGGAGTGATCTTGAAAGAGGCTGTAATTCCTAGGTAATAATGAATACTCAATTAAAATAACATGTGATTTACCGGGCTGTATAGAGAACATTTCTTGGAAATTTTACTTAAAAACTTTTATATTTTTATTAAAACCTGTAGTGGTTAAAATTAATTTTGATTTCCTTAACAAACACGCGTCTAATAAAATAAGGTGGTTTTTGTTTTCTTACCTGATGACAGAAGTGGGTACCCAGCTTTCGACTCTGCTAGCCAAAGAGTGGAAGTACAAGATCCTGTCGCCGTCCTGCTTCACGGGACTCAAGGCAAGTCCCAAAATGCCATCCATGAGATCGAAGGTGTCTCCCTTGATGTGGAACGTGCCGTGGGCTGGATAGGGGTAAAACAGATTGTTGGTGATCCTCCATGAGCGGGAGTGGCGATGATCGTAGACGAGCAATCCGTATCCAGTCACGTCGGCGATGTAGACGAATGTGTCGTGACATCTGTCGCCGGTGTCGCGGATGTCGACCGCGATCGTCACGAACAGGGAATCATCCTTGAATTGGTCTTTAGGAAACTTGTACTGGCTGAGGATCTTATTCGTTCGCAGCGAGAACGACAGCAATTGAGGAGTACAGATCTGCCGTTCCTCGAGTTTGCCGGTGTCGATGACCCACAACCTGTCGCACGAGTCCACCTGCGATCATATCTTGCTCTGTTTGTACTTTTCGTTACTTGCTTCTTAGTGAGAATTATATTAATTATATTGCTTGTAATATTATATCCTTCAAGGTAAATTTCAATAAGCAGTTCTAGTTTGCTTTCGCTTCGCAAAGATAACATTTCTTGGATTTCTGTCTGCATGCATAAAGATTCTGCACGTTCATGCTTAGCATGAAAATGGTAACACCATTGTAAATGAAGCAAGCGCGAGGCATGATAACAGCGGTAAAAATACTTTATATGCTACCATGTTCCTTCTCGGAAAATGCAACAACGTAACAATTTTTGCCATAAGATGATACTTTCTAATGTTCGTACTCGAAATTTTAGAAATAATTTTTTTCGAAAACTGGACAACTAATAAAAGACTTATTCCACATTTTGCACTTACAATGTAACACTTATTTTACTTATTAACATTATATATTTTGTATTAGACCCACTGATAAATTACATAGTAAGCATTACTTACTATATATCTTTTTGTAGCATCATCACCATGGTATAGCATGCTATCAATTATTATTTCAATAATTAATTATAAGCATTTAATATACTAATAATTAATTAGTTTATAAAATTATTTTTCAAACTATTCTGATAACCCAACATACTATATACTTATTTTCAGATCTTGCCAAATTTTTTTCTATTTCAAAGAAACATTATTTGTTATGAGTATTTTATTTAAGCTTATATGCTTCAGCCTCAATAAACACGGAATATCAGCGAAGAGCATTGTTCCGGATCGTGCGCATTGTATGTACATAATGATAAGGTGGTTGTCTCACTGGTGGACACTGCAATCTCATCATGAGGAAGATATCGGAAAGCGTGCTTCCTGCATTATTGTGGTCAATGTTAGCAATTACGATAATTTATATTGTGTCCTTTATGAGAATTTCCGCGTATACGCTGCACGTTTGATTTGTTATCTGAGTTTTTTTAATAGTAATGAAGGCGTCATTTCCATATAGTCACGCGACGTGTGCTTATCTCTGAATAAGCGAGGTGCGATTTCCGATAATAAGATAATAAGATTCCCAACTTTAAGAGTTATAGATCCGGTTGATACGGTGGTCGTAAATAAAATGAAAGATATATACGTACTTTGACACAACTTACCGATTCTCTTCACGTTACGGTTGTATCGATATCGCAAAAATGGAGTAAAATACATTAAATGAAAAATTTCTAATTACAAACTGCTACAAAATATCGCATAATCAACTAATGCGATATTATATTATTGAGTAGGACATTTTTGCGACACAGCGACAGATTATTAAACACGATTGAAAAGTAGAATTTTCTGGTCATTACCTGCACTCTGAACACACTGGTGATCGCGTCACAGTGCCCCAATCTGTTCCACTCCCAGCTTGGATAAGGTGCAATTATCGGATTTCCCTCAGGAGAAACATTGTTCGTGACGTAACCGAGAGTGACCGGAACCCCGTTTTGAATCCTCGGAATCGTAATGAAGACCATAGACCCATGTTTAGCTACGCATTCATTAAACCGTTAAGTGAGACGATTTAAAGTAGCCAATTTGTCAAACGATTAGTCAGGCTTGTCTGATCATATAATCGTGAGTTGAAAGGATTTTAATGAGATTATTTTCAGTAATGGAGAAGAATTTATGCAATGTCTGTGTTTTAGTCAAAATTGCTTATTTTTTGCACTCGTTCCTAATAATATACACTCTAGTTCTCGTTAGATACTACATATGTTATTTTTCTTTACTTTTTACATCTTTTGAAAATAATAACGTTGAAAGATCGAAAACTGCACTTTTTACTGACACTCTTATTAATTATCCACCAGACGGTTTAATAATATGTACAACAATATGAAAATGATTATTCTTACGTAAATGAATTTAAAAATTATGCAAACATGTTATCGCAAAACAATTTTATTACTTAAGCAGTGTCGTTGCTTAAAATGCATAAATAGTGAAAAAACGTGAAGCATGCCAGCATGAATTGTTAGATCACGATCGGTCCATTACGCGATCGCTTAAATCTCCATTGTGAGCTGCAATTATACAAATAATATAATTTTCCAAGTAACAATTAACTCGATTTTATCAAGTAAGAGAGTAACAAGTCTTTATAATCACATTTATGTGATTTACATGGGCGGAATATTAAATTAGTAATCGAGTGTAAAGTCGAGCAAAATAATGTGTCACTATGAACGATTTGGAACTTTAAGCGTATTTGAAGTAAAGTAAGAAATTGTGTTGAAAACCTTTGTGATAGAAATCCACGTCGATCGGTACCGATGCACCAGGAATAAAACGGCCTTCTTGAATAGCAAGGTGTCTCGCATGCTCATTTGGGAAGGCAAATTCCAAAGCCTTCCAGGAATATATACTCTTCAATTTCTCGATGCTGCCACATCTTTCCAAAAGCAGGAACGGTATAATTAAACGGTACAATAACCGGGCCAGTTTACGCTTCATCATGATTCTGTAAAAAAAGTTTCATTTTAATTTATCTTTTGAGAAAAGAGAAGATAACGGTTTATCTACAGTAAATTGGTTCTTCTTGAGTACATTTTTTCAGTAATACATTTATTAAATATATTAATTATTTTCAAACATTTTCTCTTGCAAAAGCACTTGTAAAATGTTATTAGAAATTTCTTTTAACTTGTCAATTAATTAAAAAGTTTCTGTATCTCAAGTGCGTCGTTGGAGATTTGGAAACAACATTAATCGAGAATTAAATGTCAGATGTCGAGTGTGTCTATATATGCTCCAAGTACGAGCTATTGGTGTTATAAATTAGTTATTGCACTTTCTAACCTTATGGACTTTCACCGTGGAAATTGCATGACAAAATTTGATAAAGAAAATAATTAAATATGGGAAAGTGAACGTGAATGTTTTATTGAACTTATCTACAAGCATTCCCAAAAATATATCTCGAAACTTTTATTTAACTTTCGTTGACGTTAATGTTTTTATGCGTCATTGAAAAGATACAGAAAAGTTGAAAACAGTCTTTGTGTGAAATCATCCAGTTGCAAATTTACAGTAACTTTACCTGTCTGACGCCACTTTATCTTCAGTGAGGAATTGGTTGATTTTTGGACTGCACTTGCTCGTGGTACTCGTAATCAGTGAATGACACGACGCAGTTTTACACGCGTTTGCTCGTTTTCAAATTCGACGGCGGAGTACCGACTCGCAACCGACGTTCTTGCTCGATCTTTCGTAAATACGAGTATCGTTAAAGAGGCAGCCGGCCTTTTTTCCTTCTTTCCTCGGCACTTTCACTGTCACGGATAGAGAAGTTCGGAGGCAGTAGTTATGCTCGCTAGCGTAAACGATTAATATTAAAGAAAAGGCATTTCTCTTATTATCCTTTTGTTTCGAGCGTTAATACTCCAATTTCGTCATCATCAAGGACATCCTTCCTTTATCTTGTTCGTAATTTTCTCTTCTCGTGAGATATATCCGCAGCGTCGTATGCTGTAACACTCGACGTGCAGCCAGCACGACACTCTCTAGCGTCGCTCTACTCCTTTCGCGCCGATGATTGATCAATGTTGTTTCAATGCGAACGATAATTCGGGAGGACAAGAGATGTCCTGGCCTCACGCTCCGAACTACGAGACGACCAAGAGACAACTGCGAGATTTCTCAAGGTGGCGCGTAACTTTTCACGCGTTCTCGTCTGCACATCTCCGCTCCACCGGAACAGAAACGTCAAAGGGAGGTGGTTGCTTAGCCGGCTGTCTTGTCGAAGATAAGATTGCTGTTTGAGGTCATGTGAGTGAAGTGTGCGCAAGTGTTTTGCTTCTGCATAAATTACTCACGCGAGCGGAAAAATCGGCAACCAATGACGAAAGTGACTAGGGCTGTATTTTTTAACAGAAAAGTAAGTCTATTGCGCATGCAATTATTTGTGTAGTATACTTGTGTTACTGCGGTGAAAAACCGTGAAAACGATTATCGACTATAATTGGCCACTTGGATGCAACTTCTCGACTGCATTTTACGCGGATACAAAAACATTCGTTAATTCCGGTTCTGCCGCCATTTTAAATTTGTAAGCTGCCAGAATTAATCTCTAAATACTGCGACTGTTGTATATACGAAGCTATTAATTTTATCTCATGAATCTTTAATACGTAATATAAAAGGAAATAAATCACAGGTTCTTTTGATAGGCACAATTTCGAATTTTTCGTTTACCTGTAAATTTGTGACGTTTAATACGCACAAATAAACTTGTAATTAAATTTTGTCAAGTTATACGTTGGTACTTTATATACGTTGACATAGAATCTTTATTTAATGGATGTAATAACAGTCGATATTTCGACAACGTAACATGTCTTTCAGTCGCTGCTAAAAGAGTTGCACCTTTTTGATGAAGAGACGCTATTTCGGTATTGCTTTATTATCTTGTTTTATTATCACTCGGATCTGCCGGCATTTTAACAGGTTTGAATAGAAAGGATGATGAGGCAAACAGTGATGTCACCCGAGTAATGGATACCAGTATTCTGCATAAACGTTTTTTTCCAGCGTGACTTGTCGGCGCTTTTTGAAATCAATAGGGAAGTGTGTAGGAAACATCTGTATATACAATATACAATAGATATCAGCATATATGTACATACGTATACGTACGTATATTTTGCGTCTTAGCCATTTGCATTTAACTCGTTGATCATTGTGGGAGATTCTGACACGTAATCCTGGCAATTATCTATCTATTCTATCTTGTTCTTCGTTAAAAACGAACGAATAATTTCCCAAGGCAATTTCCGAAATGAAATGACGCATGTGAAAATAATAGACAATTATTAGTGATCTTACCACGTGCGTACATGTAATAGCCATTACGCGTAAAGTGTATAGAAAAAAACACATATTTCATATTTTAAATATGTATGGGAGATACAAGTTATTAGCCGAGTATATTGAGAGAAGTTGTATATAAAATATATACAGTATTTTTCAGTGCGCTCTATGTGCAGAGGCGATGAGGGAGGAAAATCGATTTGTGTAAGAAAATATAGGTGGCTCTATTTTAAAGCACGATGTTTCTTTGAACAATCGAGCAATTCCGCTTGTCGCACAAAGGATTCAAATTAATTTCAAAGCAACAGCAAGCGACTTAATCTTTGTCCATAGGTTTTCGAGAGGAAATAAATTGCAACGTAACTTTAAACCACCATAGATCACATCATGTATAACGTATATAATTGATTGTAAAATTATTGCATTTAAATGTGTAATTGCAAATGTATAATTTATTTAGGGAATAAATGGCAGCAAAGCGTCAACTTAATTTAATTTACTATGTCGTTATAAAAGTGTTGGAAAATAACTAATTAATTACACATTGCGTGTGTAATAGGACACGACCTTTCGCGAGCATGACTTTCACTGCGTTTTCAGGGAATAGATGTTACATTTGTTAATTACATCCCGATCTCTCGTTTATCGTTTCGACATTCACACGTTGCCATATTTTAAAGAAACAGGTTCGACGCTTCTTTTTAATTTAAAGATAGTTAAAAATAGACGCGCGGTGTATCAGATAGGTTTGTAAGTCTACGTAAAAATTTTATTTTACTTCTCTTTGAACTATTTTATTTGTCATTTTGATTTTACTTTCTTGTGACAATTGATATTTATGTGTAAATATAGTATTTATATAAATTTTATATGCAGTTGTTTAGTAGGTCAGAAAAGTGTTGAAAATATTTATATTAAAGTATCGCAAGACAACGAAGATAAATTTTTAAGCATATTGAACATTAGGCTGTAACTGCGAAAGAATGCGAATGCCGATATTACGTACAAAAGAATTTGCAAGCTTAGCAATATTGAATTAAACCTAGTTTTCCGATGAATTCTCGAGCAATTCTTAAGTAAGTGATACTTGAGTAAAAGTAGTATGTTTCACGCACATTCTACGTGAAACTAATATATAATAAAATTGTTTAAAATATATTCATTACAGGAAATGATATAATCTAATGTTATTACACACCCCAAGATTTTTGTCGTATATATTTTTAAGAGAAAACTGATTTCGACAAAATAATCTTTCATTTCCTATTTTTCTTAAGATACTGAAAAAAACACAAATAATAAATTAAAATATCTTAAACTGATTATAATTTTGATAGTTGTCGAATTTATATATTACAATAATTGATAGAGCATTATGTATAATTAACATTTTTGTCATATCGAATGTTTTAAGTTCGAAATATTGTAATATAAAGAATAAATAAGTTTCACAGTTTTGTAATACGTATAAACATATTGCAAAAGAAAAGAATTAATATTAGAAATGTAAGTATAGAATTTTTTACAATAATTGTAATTGTTTCATGTTAGATATAAAAATTTTATTTATACTGTATTTTCTCTTTTGGTAGATTTTTTGAATTGCATTTTTATCATAAAATTTGCTTCCAGAATGAAATGTCATTAATTTTCTACATTGCATACTATTGCAATTTTCTACGATTCTTGCAATCTCTACAATCTTTTAATAGTACAGTTTGGTGATATTTTTTGTTAGAATCCTAAAGTATTATTGTAGGAATTTAACGAATAATATGAGTCAATCTGCTGATTAAAATTGAAAGGAGCCGAACTTAATTCTTGATTATCTTCCTTGATTCTCATAATACGGATGTTCATCTGACGAGTATCAACCTGTCTCAAAAAGAACTTGTGGAATCTTGATGACATTACCCAAAAATTACCGTTGTCATATCTTGCCCATAAAATCTCGGCAGTAAACTGCAATTTTTCTGGACTGTAGGCAAGTATCCTGGAAAAAGAAATTATGAGAAATAGCAAAATTATAAATATGTAAGTATAACTGTATGTAAAAAATATTATAAAATTATAGTCTATGCATAGAATTGACTATTCTCTAATCAACTTTAATATTCAACAAATCTGTTAATCGTATGTGATAGTTGTAAGCATATTTTTTACAAACTAAGATACTATTAAAAAACGGATACGAAAAGATGAGGATAAGGAAATGAAACGTTTGCAAGTCTTTCTCTTTGATAATAAAAAGTGTAGAGGAAATTTCTCCGCGATTAAAAGCGACAAACGCCATAGCAAATGTGTTTCCCTTATGGGGATTCCTAACACCTCGACGCTGAGAAGAAATTCAGATAGGATTGACGTGTAAGGTGCATTCACTCGGCTCAGCCATAGCCAGCTTGTTGCGGCCGTTTGATTAAAGCGGAACCGGTTTGCGTGACACAGTATGCAACTGCTTGAGAATTCTTATGTTGTTTTTCCAATTATAACTTTGTTATGTAACATTATTTTATAATAATACACATATCAATGTGTAGAATAAAGAGGGGGGAAAAAGTTTCTTAATAAACATTAAACCGGCAAATCCATTCATGTAATACATTGTAACGTTATGTATGGCGAATTCTTGAAATAATGTAATAGATTGTGCTTATAAATATATGTATTTTGTACCTCTGCTGATTCGTTTGCGGTTGCCACGACGCGACCGCGGTCTCGGTAAAGGGGGCGAACAAAATCGTGTCATCCCGAGGATCGACGGCCAGTGCCAGACCTTGACTCGACTTTCTGCCGACCAAGGTTACAGGTAACTGTTGACCGAAAGGTAGAGGCCCTGCTTGCAGAGCCGAAGTGGGCACGCTAAAGATACGATCGGTTGCTAGAGGTTGATAGTAGACGGTCCCGGATCTTGGTGAAAATGTTATTCCCACTACGCCGTCTAAGAACTCGAAAGTGTCGCTTCCGATCTAGAGGAATGCCCATTTAATACAGAACAAGATATATTATATAAAATTGGAGAAAATTATGTGTGTGTTAAATATCAATTTAAGTATTATTCTACTAATCTACTAGTTATCTGATATTTTTCTAGATTTTAGGATATGAAACTCTTATGCTTACTTTGTACAATGCGTGGTCTGGGTTAGGAAACATGGACGCATGAACGACCCGCCAACTTCTATCTGTAGCGCCGTCGAAGATAAGAATTCCTAGGAAAACACACACCTGGTTAATTCTTTACTGACAATAACATTTGGGAACTATAATGGAAAAATAATTTCAATTCAAACAACTCCATGTTTAAACTTATAGCTCACAAACAATGGAATAAATGTTTTAAAACTCAAATAAAACATTTAAACAAACATATTATCTTCACCAGGGAATTCATTCTCTGAATTCATTTGTATAACATATATAAGTATTTTCATACAGCATCTTCATATTCAAGAGAGGTATTTCACTTTTTCTGACTCGCATTCTCTTGTACAATTGTATTTCGATAATAGCGAGGTAAAACACATTTATATCGGTTACGAGGGCCCCGATTATTTAACTGAGAAATTTCCTGTATTATTAAAAATGCCAGATATGGTGAAGAAAACACACAAGTTTTTGTCAACTAAGAAAGTCAATAAAAACCTGAGATATGACATAACACTTGTAAAATGTCTTTAATTAACAAGCTAATTAAAAATTGTGTAACCTGGACCGAGAGTGTCAGTCATGTAGAGAAACACGTCATCGCAGGTTTTCGCCGATACTTGGTCGATAACAACGTTAGTTAGTAAAGAATCCGGTCTCAGCACCTAAACAACAAGAAAAAGAAACACCCAACAATTGCTTGGAACAATTACTTTTATGTAATCCTACGCAAAAATATGCAACTTGTTTTTCAAGTTAGATATATCAGCGAACGATCACTGTCTCCATGCTCGTATGCCATGTTTCTAGCGACACGTAAAGTATAATCTACAATGTGCTCTCTACTTTTAGCAATTTGCTTTTAGCAATTATGCAAATAAAATTCTGATGTGAAGTCACAGAAGTAAGAAACGATATGAGAGACGGATGTTAGTGTCTAAACGATTTTAATTTTTAAATTTGCGAAAAATTGACCAGTCCAGCGAGAGGAAGGTCGAGGTATCATTTATCACTTGGTGTCTGTGACGTTATACATCGTATCATCGTTGTCGACAAATTTTTTAAGCGTTTTGACTTGCTTCTACAAAACAGAATATTTCTAGACCCAAAGAGCATATTCAGTAAATCAGGCTTAAGTCTTGCTAGCCACATAGTGACACAAAATTACACATAAAACCGGTTTTTGATTATTCCATAGTTATAAATTTAATCCATCGCAACGATCATTTGCAAACGATTTCCTCACATTGCACGTTCTCCTTTCATTACTGACTTTTAATAACATATCTTACATAAAGTAAACAGGCGTGTTAGAAATTTTCCATATCGATTAATAAGATAAATAATTTTGCCGCAAATGATTTTAAAAAGAAAAGAATAGTTCTCGCGAGTGTTGTATCCTCTTCTAAGTGACGCTTCCTGGCCTACATAAGTTTGTCTTCGAGACATATTTCTTTATGTGACGTTTAAGATGCGCCACTCACAAAACTGGATCCTTCACCGATGCGTCCACTCTGTTCATTTTAACACGCAAGAACGTCGCTCTGCTCACCTCACGCGGAAAAGTGACGTGACGAACCACCTGATCGGTTTTTAGGTCGAACACCACAACTTTCGGCGGGCAAACGGGCATGAAATCGTCAACCGATGTCACAACACCGGCGTCGACGACCCATAGCCGGTCGCACCTGTCCATTCTGGTGCGATACACAGAGATCAACCTGCTGCAGTTGATCTCTCCTTTCCCGGCACCATGCCAGTCCCAAGAGGGATACGCCTGAAGCTGCGGACTGCTTCCCAGCGGCACCTTCCTGGGGAAGAAGCTCAGGGTGGCCGGCACACCTGCGCGTAATCTGGGCGTGCTGACAAAGATTCTGTCCCAGGCTACTTCGATACCGGTCATCACTATATTCTCCGGTTGGTATTGAAAGCCGCGCTCGTTCGGCAGCGCGAATTCCAGCAGAGACCATTGCGCCACGGTCTCCAACGTTCCCGCCCTCGTCCTGATGCACAGCAGCGACAGGATCGTCGTGAAGAATATGTGTCTGAGAACGAAAAGAAAAATGAAGAAACTGGCAGTTTAATTGAAATAAACACTCGAGTTATCCTTAAAATAATTACGTGTCCGCGAAAGGCGGAGCGATATCTCAGCAATACTTTTCCCGTAGCAGATTGATGTTACCAAATTTAAGATGCAAATTAAGTTTTGACACGTAAAATTTATCCCGAAAAACTCGGATTGTCGAACACGACTTGGATTGCAAGCGTGAAAATAAAACAAGACCTCGATCACGAGAGTGAAATTATTCTGTTTACCGTTCTTGTATCCGTTACCCACCTCATGTTGCAAGGCTAAAGGCTAAAATACGGTAAATCGGAGGCTTCGGCCGCACTGCTTCAATCACACGCGCGAGGAGTGAACGGTAACAATATATAATCGAATACAGCCAGAGCGCGCGGTAGCAGCTGTAGCGAGAAGTATGCGGTACCGTACGGGTGTGTACCACAAGTTCTACCGACCGAACACCGACTGATCCAATTTTCTAGGCATCGGCTGGTTGGAACTTGTTGCCTCCTTAAGAGAGTAACAGGGTACCACAACTCGAATGCATTGTGTAACGAGACGCGTATATACTTTTACTTGTACGCACAATTGTACTCTCTATCGAGGGGCAGCGCGCCTACACCGATCAAGCCATTCCGGGAGTTTAATGGCCAGTCTCGTGCAAATCTCCTCTTGCAAGGCGGCGAGGAAAGTGGCTCGTGACTGGCTTACCCGCAGCATCCACGCCCTCGTATTTCTTTAACTTCCGTAAGTGAAAAGTCAATACTTTCGTGACACCATAGCAAAGTCGGAGATTCTTTCAAAGTATTTCACGCGGTTATAGACATGGTGCGAAGACAATACTGCGATCATCAAACTTTACTTGTCCGGTTTCGATGACTTTTCCATATAATATAATAAAAATTCAAATGTTCTTCCGAAAACAGCTGTGCATATGCGAAAGAACCTCCCTCGCAACGCAACGCGATTATCGATGATCGACTTCATCACTAGTGACGTCGGTGTATTACGAAATACCATAAAAAATAGCATAAAATGGCACTTGGTGCTCGTACTATAGAATTATAACGCGTATGTAGACGTCCTTGGCAGATCTCGATCGAAAGTGCCCGGAACTAATGACCGCGCCCATTATTAATTTACGTTTCGGGCATGTAAGAGACAATGCCGGACACACAATAGGGAGCAAAGGACGAACAATCTCGATCGTGACTAATGTTTCGTAATCTGTTTCTCTCGGACTAATTTATGTCTGCTCGCCTCGTGACGAATGTACATGCTCATTAGAGTCAAGGTGGCGCGATTCTACGAACGAAATTGCTGAAATCGGCGATCGTACGCCCGCGGGAATGATCGAAACGATTGGAATGCATGCCGCTCAAAATCTCCCCTGTCTCTGTAGCAAACTTGTACTTTCCATATTTTGGGAAAAATATCGAGATATTTGCAAGCCGTCTTTTTACGAGTGTTTACAACCGTTCTTTTGTCAATTTTCCATTTGGTATCGTTGTCGAGTGAGTTTTGTGCATTGATTCCGGATGCCAAGCTCTATATCTGGTCGATAAATCACTTTCTCTCCGTGCAGCAGAGCTCTTGAGCATGCATACCCGCCTAGCCTATTCTTTGTACTCTTAGGCTCGGAATGTAAATACATATTCTTCTCGAAACATGACGTACGAATTTACCGTCTGTATAATATGAAACGCGCCTGAAATATTATGTATTACAAAACTTGTTAATTTTCTTATACCAACTTTCTGCGGCATTTCAACTGATTAAAAAGCTCGTCGGCGTCAACTTTCGCCAACAAAACGCGCAAATATTTATAGAATATTTGCATCAAATATTGTGAAATTAATCATGTTTGCACTCCAGAAGAATATTCATACAACTATGTGTGCTATCTGGGTAACAATTACTTAACTGGAGATTTTTCAGCGCGGCGCATTGCAAGGATAGGGAACCGAGGTAGACGGAATAACACGGTAGTGCCGAGCCTACGGTTTGCAACGTGTCTTTCGTTAGATTTTTCAACGTTGCTCAACATCTCTCGTGTGGAACACTATGGGAAATACACCATAGGAACGATCACGACTGCCCACCGTTCCCACGACGAAGCGGAAGCTAGTTCGACCCGCAACGGCGGCTTGGATCGACAAGCGAATTCTCAGCAGCTGTCGCGGGGACAGGAACGAGTGAGATCTTTTTTTAGGGGACGTGTATTATACGAGTAGCTGTCTGGTGTGATAACGTCGCGCCATGGCACGAGTTCCATAAATCACACAAAACACGACCGACAAGCGGAAAGGAACTCGAGTTCTGTATCATCAGTAATTTTGCAATTTTTCGATCCGTTAAATGGTTTTATAGGCAAATAATGAATACACACACTTTTTCTTTACTCTGATAATGAATATAGAATAAATATCGAATCATCATTCCGCATTTATCGACAATTCCCAATTCTTTTTTCAATAAAAATGTAAGAAGCCAGGCAAGAAAATTAATATTTTTTTACGTGCACAAATTCATGTGGGAAGGCATCAGTGATTCCTAGTGTACGTACGTACACGTAAGTACATAAATGTCAATCGCTTGTGCTTATGCCAACTAGATGCCATCGATAGCAGGTTATATAATTACAGTTTGCGGGAACGCGGTGATTAACATTTACGACAGACATCGTACATTTTTACCGCCTTAACCAATCGTAATAAACTTAATTGCAAGTATACACGACTTTGTAGGCGCAATTGCATGTTTAAGAAATAAATCGTAAAGTAGCACGAAAAACGATAGTTAAATCTTTCTCTCGTTGAATCGCATAAGGTCTACAATAATTTTCTCGCTAGCGACGTTTTGCACCATCGTCCGATTGGACATTATAGTCGCAAGTCTAATTTCGACTATCTCGAGGCTTGACACACTTTCCGTGCAATATCGTCTGCATATAATTTGCGTTTATAATGCGCTCGTTAATTTTAGCGAGTCACGCAGATTGTATTATAAACAGTTGATCGCGCGGATTATCAGAGATCAGATGACGCGGAATTAAGAAATCATTTAATTCGTAATCGGATACAGTTGGACTTTCATAGTCGGTTATCGTTTAAAATCAGGAAGATAATCTGATCTCAAGTATCAGTTTTCATTGAAAGTTCCGATATATCACATGGCTTCTGGTTCAATGTCCGAATGCTGGTGCATAAAAAGAAAAAGAAACGAGGGTAAAAATGATCATTCGATATTCCATGTGAAAAGCTGTTCGTGAATTGGACACGGGAATTCGAAAGGAAAACCGATGCCGTGTTAAGAAGCAAACACACTCTTCGTCCTCGGTACGAGCTATTAATTTATGCCGAGCACGTGCGTTCCTTCACAAAGGAAAACGAGAAGTAGAGAACAGGTAGAACGTAAGAAAAGGTGTTAATGGCGAATTGGCATGTCGGCCTGGGTATAGAAAACACGCGATGTGATTAACTTTTTCACGCACAACGCGCAATTCGCAGGCGTTTCTTTTTTTCCCCTTCAAGCCAACGAAACTTGTTGCACATAATTTTGTAATTTTGATCAAAGTGGAGATAAAGCGAGCTTCAATCTGTAGAAAAAAATTTGTAAAATTCCAAATGAAAGTTGAGTTTTAGAGAATTTTTTCGTTAAACTTGCTCTTTTATTCAGTAAAGAGAGTATAACGCAGAACTCGAGTTTAATTTAATTAAAGTATTTTAAATTTAACTATATTAATTGTATTAAAAAATTCAAGTATGAAATTAAAGTAGTATTTAATTAAAAGCGGTGAGTGAATTTGAGCTGCGAAATTAATTAGAGAAGATTATTGCGCATAGAGTAATGTAATTTCTGGTCGCGGATTTCGAGATGCGTGGAGCGCGTATTAGAAGCGCGCGAGTCGCGTCAGGGGGGGGGGGGGGGGGGTAGTTAAAAACGCTGAATTTTTATAATACGTTTATTTCTCCATCCGACGAATGTCAGCGATTGACATTTTGCTTACAGTTGGACTTTTTGCACCGTCGGCCGCAAAAGAGCGCATTGCGGCCGATGTAATTTTGGCGAGTTCGAGTTTCGACGCTACAGACACACGTATATACACACAGATACACACACACACACACAGACACACAGACACACACACACACACATACACACTTATGGCAATGGGAGACACGACTATTGGCGTAAGGTACATATTATTCCGCATCCATAGCGTGGAAAGGTAATCTCATCGAATTGTAATTGGTAGTTGGACCCCCGGCCGGAGTGCTCGAGGAGCCGGGAAACCTTGTCGCTGTTATCAATCTACGCTCCTGTTCCTTCTCACTGATCTATTGACGATCGGCAGAGCGAGAACACCTCGCTCTACATCAGGCTCAACATGTGATTGGCCCCGCAGCCGACGGTACCTTGCATGAAATCCTGGAAGTTGCTCTCGAGGACGCGCATCTGTCCTCTCTTGTAATCGGGCACGATGTGAGTCGGCAGGTTGCACTCGCAGAATCGGTTCTTGTAGACGGGCTGGAAGTTGCAAGGCTGGAAGGGAGTGGCAGAGTCCCATCTGTAAACCTCGCCCTCGCCCTCGAAGCGGAAGAAGATCGCGCTGCCGTTGTCCGTGCCCAGGATGATCATCCTCTTCGGCTTGGCCCCGCGATCTTGTATCTTGCCGTGGGCATTGCCGCTCCGGAGATAGTCCGTTCGGATGCTGAACACACGGCTGCTGCCCAAGTACGAGAAGAACAGGCAGGTGCTACCGTCGTTGTGGCGTGTCAATGCGAGGTAGAGCACGTCACGGCGGTCGCAGCTCAGGGTCACCGCCTGCGGGAGCACCACGCGGTATCCACGACCCGAGGTCACGTCGTACACCAGGATCGCCCGCGTGGCTGCGTCGGACACGTAGATGAAGACGCGACCGTCCGGATTGTAGTCGGCTATGACGTACTGCAGTCGGGACGTGGCGCTCGTTAGACCGGACAGGTCGACGATTTTCACGATCTGGGAAAGAAACAAAGCATTAGTCTAACAACGTTATTAGAGAAATCGGCCTAGTTTCTTTTTTAGAAGAAAGGAAATTTGAGAAATATTGGTAAATTGGTGTCGATCGCAACGATTACACAAAGTACCTTCTTAATTGAATATTACATGGTGGTTAGTTTGTTAAGGAAGGCGCTTAAAATTCTTGTTGCACAACACATTGCGAAGGAGAAGCGATGTGAATTAATAACAGGAACGCAAGCGCGCGCAAGCGGGTGTGACTAAAAAATCTATATAAAAAAAACATGGGATAATTTCTCCATTTGTTAACCAAAGGAGAAAGACAAGTGTAAATGAATAATGTTTAAAGCATGTGCCTTTATCGAAGAGTTTTGTGTCGGAAGGAAACGTTTCTTCTTCATCTATACGATCCAACGGATTATCTCACCTTGCCGGTTTTGACGTTGAGAGCGACAACCTTCGGCGGGCATTTGCGCTCCGGTTGCTCGAGGGAGTTTACGACACCAGTGTCCAGCACCCAGAGGATGTCCTGGGGATCCAGAAAGAGGTCCACGACATTTTGCAGCGCGGAGCATGTACCTTCTTCCTGGAGCGACCAGCAAGGGAAGGGCAGGAGAGTGGCCTGGCAGCTAGCTGTCTTATCTTTCAAGGAGACTTTCGCTAATGTCACTGGCACGCCAGGCTTGTACCTGCAAAAGCATTTCAAACAAACGTTGGTATATTTCTGAATTGTAAAGGCCATTGATCTTTTGCACATCGATCTCTCGCATTATTATCGGAAAATATTAAACAGCAGATTCTCAACATTTGCACTCTCTGAACGTTTTATCAATGTTCTTTCTTGAGTTAGAGTGGAGAGTTTCGCAAATTTACTATAAATGAGATTGAAGACTTTTCAAAGTGTAAAAACTGGAATCGCTTGCATTCTTTACAGTTTAAGCCTCGTCTACAATAATAGTCGCACTCGCAGAAGTCGCAGATCCCAGCGAGAAATGACGTCATTTCTCACTGGGGAGGCTTTACACCTACGGCTTGTTGAATAAATTTTGTCAAGTACACTCCGGACATTGATCATTAATCGGCAATCAATTATACAAATGACTTTGCTTACTGATATTGAGCATTAACCCTGTAATATCGCGTGTTAACCCCGGCAATATCGCCGACGATCAGCAAGATTAATGATCATGCGTGTAATGAAAAGGAAATATGATGAAGACATCGCGATATAAACGCTTTTATCGTCGAGCGAGGCGCGTTTCAATGCGTTTGTATCTGTAAATACCGAACGCCCTTCGTGAAACGAGGCAGATACGATCGCCGCGAATAATGTCGCAACAGTATTACACACGTGTGCGGACATTCTCATTGCGATGGAGAAAAATCCCCGGTGTCTCTCGAACGCGTGAAATCCCCATCAGATATATCAGCAAGATGACTACTTCATTTTTCCCCGCGTTGGAAACTACGATCACGATCGCATCTCGTAATCTCGTGCCTCGTTAATTTCTGCCAAGACTGATACTGTGTATCGATTGCTATCTGACGTAACGCGCGATTTGCAACTAGCGCACTTTTCTCCCGTTTGAAAGAGATTGCGGTTGCCCTTTCGCCCTGGATCCGAATGCAATTGGAGAGGTACGATCTCGTTTACGTTTGAATCGAGAGTACAAATAAAATCGGCCAGTCCTTTGTGCAAGCTTTTTCACAGAGGATCTTTTCCAACGATATACATGCGATAAATTGCAAACACGTGAGAAATTTCTCTTTTATTTAAAAAAAACATGGATATTGGTCTATAAAACTGCAACATATTATTCTAAATTTAATTTTTTACCCCCCACCCCCACCCCCCAGAAACGACTCAACAGAACCTGCTTCAGATATATTTTGATGGTATTTCTACACGTACCTATATGTATGGGAATCTGAATCGAATGTTACATTACTCACATTGTATCCTTTAACGAAGGGTTAATAAAACCATCGTGTGCAATTGTATTATATGGAAAGAAATTTTGTCCCAGTGAGAAATGAACTGGGGTGCGTCTCATACCTGGGTAAAGCGAGGATGGCGTCGTCCTTGTAGATCGCGACCCTGGTGGCAAGAACATTCTTGGAGATGTAACGGCCGCTATTCTTGAACATGCTCTTGGTGGTGACGCAAGGCCACTCGAAGGAGCCGCCGGTCCACATGATGGGCCCGTCGCATTTCTTTTCATTGGAATCGTTGGCACCGACGAGAGCGACGACGGCGACGACGAACGTCACCGCTCGTGCGAAAAGCATCCTTACTTGCTGTGAGCTTCCCCCGTCCTTGGAATAATCCGACCGCCTCGATCTCTCTTGACGATCGAATCAAACCGTAAACTGTAAAATCCTCCGGATTACGCCAGTTTTATAATCCTGCCACATCGGAGCAAAACGTTGCACAATGGTCTTTGTTTGAAAAATATTTTGTCGCGACGCGCAGCGAACATGTTCCTTAAAGCAGTTCCGCACAAATTGCTACTAACAAATTAATTCGGTAAATATTTGCCGAATTTATTATAAATGGAAAAGACAATGAAATCCAGTTAGATATTTTTTTTAAATATAATCATGTGGAGCACAAGTATCCTTTTTGCATTAAGTGAAAAGAACAAAAAGGATACATGCGATATGTTGTAATTATAAAAACGCAGATACGGAGGGGAATTATTTATGAATGCAGTAATTTATAAATAAAGCATTCATTTCATTTGCATGTTAATATCTGTAAAAGAATGTGAAAGGTGTATAGAAAGTATGAAAAATGTCGAAATATTTACATTCTTTTACACTTTTACATTGCAAATATTAATCATTTATATTATTTGTAAATTAAGGCAACGCTAGAAAAATCCTCCGTAAAAGAGCGTGTATAAAGGACTAGCCGATTCTGTCTGTACTGTTTTGATTCGAACGTAAACGAGATCGCACCTCTTTAATTGCATTCAGATATCAAGGCACAATTATAACAGCCAGGAGAAATTTTAACGGTCTGCCTAAATAAATTGTTAAGTGCCTATATAAATTGTTGGAAAAATTGATTGGAGACTAATTATTGCAACGGAAATGGCAAGTGCGACAAATTAATAAAACTAACTGAGAGAGAGAAATAACTTCCTGGATACACTGCGTTTCCTGATTAACTGCATTCTAAAGCACGCCGCTTTCCACATCTTCCTGGACTTGGCCGTTATTTATAAATAACAATCGAAAACACATACCGCGAGGTATTTCCTCTTTACAAATTCCGTCAAACTTGAGCAAGAAAGTCGTTGCAAAATAGTGGGTAGGAGAGACAGTGGTGTACAATAAAAATATAAACAATTTCAGTTGATTCACAGTCGGCGTATATATAAGTATAAAGCAGTATAAATGATTCGCACATTCCAAAATTTCCGCCCAACTGATTGCACGGGAAATCTTGTAAGTTTTCACCCCTTTTCTTACCGTGTATTCAATAGCTGCCTTAATTGCTACCTTAGAACACACTGATCCAAGTTTGGCTTATTAAAAGTATCATATATGTGTACAAATCAATTTTTATTGCACACAGCTTTATAACATGTTCTACGTGCTTAGTTATAAAAATTTGTCTCAACTTTGTTCACTCGGTGTTGATTTTTCCAAGGTAATTTAACAAGTAAATTTGTCTTTTTCTAGAACACCGAGACATTACTACAAGGCGTGATAAGAAACGAGCGCAGGATGAAGACGAGCGCTCTGTGCCTGGTGATACTGGCGAGTGGCTTATCGTTGGTGGCGAGCGACAAGCAGTTGCTGCCGGAGTTGTCGTTCGTGTTGTCGGGTCACAGCTTGGATTGGCCGTGTCAAAGCACGAAGAACATCTACGCGACGAGCGGACGTTACATCCCCAGGCATGTGATTGCCACGAGAGCGCAGGTCTACAGGGACGATGTGATAGTAGCGATGCCGCGCTACAAGCCGGGTGTGCCGTTCACCCTGGCCGTCATGTCGCTCAAGACGAAGGACTGCATGCCGAAGGTGACACCGTTCCCCTGCTGGGCGATCCAGGAAGAGGGCAACTGCGAAGCGCTGCAGAACGTGGTGGACCTAGTTCTAGACATCCAAGAGATCCTGTGGGTATTGGACGTTGGTATCGTAAACACTTTGGAGCAACCGGTGCGCAGATGTCCCCCGAAAGTCGTCGGAATTGACGTCAAATCTGGAAAGGTACGAGCTTATAATTACACGACAGTTATTATTTCTAATAAAAAAGAAGCTGTCGGAAATACTTATCTTCATTTGATGTACTGATGGAATCCGCTCTGACATAAAGGATTAACGTTGAGACACGGTGTCCCGTAGGTCGTAAAGGTGATTGATGTAAACTTCTTGGTGAAGCCGACGTCTCGTCTGCAATATCTGTCGGTCGACTACGCGGACGACGGTCAGGTGTATGTGTACATAACCGATGCCGGCAGCAACTGCCTCATCGTTTACAATGTAACCGCGGGAAAAGGATATCACGTGGTCCTTCCGAACGCTGTTACCCTCGGTGTCCAAAGCAGAGACGTGCTCTACTCGACGCTGGTGAAGAAGAGCTGCGGCACGCCGGTGTTGTATTTGACTTACCTGGGATCCAACAGGCTCTTTTCGATCAAGGCCGAGAACCTGAGACGTGGCGTCACTCAAGGAGCGATCGTGGATGTCGGGCCGAAGCAACGCAAGATCGTTCTTCTCGGAAACGATAATGGTTGCGCCATTTTCTTCAGACACAAGGGTAAGTTTGCTTCACTGTTTTCGCTCATGATTTCGATGATGAAAGAGTGATTTGTTTCTTTTCAGGCGAATCCGATATCTACATGTGGAACACTGAGACGCCCTTCAAACCGGAGAACTTCCTTCTGGTGCAACAGGGCAACGACTGCCGACTGCCGACCCAAGTGGTTCCTGGTTACAAGAGACTCATGTGGGTGATCGAGAGCAACTTCCAGGATTATATACAGGACAAAGTGAGCTGCTCGGGCCCCTCCGTGGCCATTCATCCCTTGGTCAAGTCTTGCGATGACTAGGATTCACTCGTTAAGATAGGAATATAGGAATTGAAATGGGCAATTTCAGAAAGCACTATTTCAATGGACACGTGAAAGTAATGTTGAATGGAACGGCAATGGAGATACGACGATTAGCGTAAGGTACATATAAGTTTAAGAAAATTTCCATATATGATTCCTACTTGTACAAATCGAACGAATATTGTCTTGGCGGTAAAAACGTTAGCAAAACAGAAAATTATTTTGTCGCTGATCTAGTCATGTATCCTCGTAGACAGCAAGTTTAATCTGCGAATGTTATATCAATCAGTGTAAGCGCTGAAACACTGGTTTCAGTTGCATAGATAATTAGCGAATATACAATGTGTATAATTGACTGTGACCAGGGATTTGCGTTTCCAAGGTCGCGATATTTGGACGAGTTGACCAGTGTAAAGAATTACTTGTCGATGGTTAATATACCAGCACATAGCCGGCACATAACTGCCAATTTCCAAGGCAAAATTTTAAAACCTTGCGATTATTCACCTGCTCAACGATCTAAAGAAAGTGATTTATTAACGAAATAAAAATAATACCTGTAATTGTTGTTATGTAAATGCATATGTACGGAGACACGTGCCGACTTATATAACCCAGGCATAAGTAGAAATACGTAAAACCATGTAGTTAAATTTACGGTCTTAAAACGGACGTTTCTTCATTCAGCCGGGTTCGTTCTTCACTGTTGACGAGTCGCCTCGAATCTAATACTTTTCCAAGCAATTAACAAGCGAAACTACCCTTATCTTGGTAAGCAATGTTTGGCCAATGCACTGTGCTACTAAGGTAAAAGCGGGCAAAATGAAACTTGAGGGAAGATGAGATAATTAGGAAGGTTCTCTTTGAACCGGTCAATGCTATGAGGAACTTTCCATCGCGTGTTTTATTAAAATTGCAAAAAAGAAAGAGATCACTGCACTAGAATACGAAGGAGTACTTTTGAATCTTAATTGTTCTGGACTTGAGTGTCGCGTTAGTTGAGATATTTTTCTTCATTGCGCTCACATGCTTACCGGGACATTGCCAATTCACTAAGCCCCACACGTTCCTTCGCGAATCCATTATGTAATCGGTTATGCACGGGACGTCATCGTTTTGTACCAGGACCGAATGACTCTGCGCCTGAGAGGACAGATGAATCAATTATTCACAATGCCGCTTTTAGAGGGGATTGAATGAAATAATTTACGTTGAAAGGAAGCTTAGTGTCCCATCGCACGCTGGCTCTCTCGGAAGTCATGAAATAATGTAGGCCGTCTTTTAAATCGCAGAACAGGCCTACGGAGGAGCCTAATTTCTTTCCAAGCCAGGTCACCGTCACATTTTCTGCTCCCTAAAGTAAATGCCATTTTTCAAAAGAATCTCGAAGATGCAAAACGCTTCGTCTGGATTCTTATTTTCTCAAAACTTTTATTGCAAGAATTTTAGAAAGAACGCACGCGCGAAGGCGCCATCCGTAGCACTTGGTCCAGATCAATGCTAAACAGATCGTGCGTATCACGTCCTGTCACGTATAAGATGGAATTCCTCCGAGAAACAGCGAGATCGACGGATTGCACGCGAGGGACTTTGGGTCCGTGTAACATTTTCAATTTCCACCACTTGCGTAATCCTGGAATTGGCAATCATTTTAAATCGTGACATAAAATAAGAATAATTTCGTAGCTCAGGTAAATTACCGCAACTATAAACAACAATCGTCTCGTCACCAGCATCCGCGATATATCCTCGGAATCCCCATTGATCCTCAAGCGGGTCGATGACGAGAGAGCTTAATTGTTTCCAAGTCACCTTAGCTAATTCGGCAGACGATACCTTTAAGCATTTTTTAATAAATAATATCAACTCGTTTTCAACAGTGAAATTAAAGATAGTACATGCATACCAATCGATCGTTTCGTTTCAAATCGTAAATGACGATTCGAGGCCAACGATCACGTTGATCGGGTGCGTCTAGAATCCATAATCGTCCCCGAGCGTCCACGTCTAATCCAGTTACGGATACGAGGGATTCATAATCGCGTTTCGATGAAGCTTCCTTAGGGAAAGGCTTGGGCGAGATTGCTGCGTTTGCAACGTTTAATGACAAATTGATTTCAGGCCAAGGAACTTGCACCACAGTCGGTTTCCATCCTTTTTCCTTTTCATTCTCCGATCTTGCAGAGAATAAGGTTAATTAGGTTAGAATAGGTTAATTAGCTGTTTCCAAGAGAACATGCAATAATTGATTAATTATTATTTGTGTGATATTAGCTTAATATTTGCCTACCTGGGAATTGCGAGAAATGCGCGATTTCTCCAGACGGCGAATCTCCATATTAGAACGTCGTCCGATATGTTGAGCGACGTTAGATTCCAACAGTGTGAGACATCGGTTAAGAGTAGATAAAGGACACTAATTGGAAGAATAAAGCGGGTCTTTCCTGAACTGGTCATAATGAAAATGCCGACAGAAACGTACTCGACGCGATATTGCTTTCGTTGAAACGCATAGTCAGCAAGGGAAATTGCTGACAATGACTTTTCGATTGTCTCCAACTGAAAGTAAGCCACTCGCAAGCGTATAATTGCTGCATATATAGTATAATAAGTAATTTTCAGGCTGTAAATGATTTGAAAGAATAATAACAACGACACAGCAGGTGAATTAGATGTTTGTGGTGAATTTCCGCGCCATTCCTTGTTATCGATGGTAGAGAGGGACATTAGCGACCGACGGCAGTTGGTATCGGCCTTGCCCCGAGATGTCGCGAGGGTCGCGCGAGATGTCGCCGAGGCGTCGCGCGAGATCGTGGAAGCCCTTGATACGCGCGGCAAATGGCCGCCGATGGCCGCCGTGGTGCAGTTTCCGTGGCGGTGCGTGGTGTTGCGTGACGTCCGACTGCGGTTGCGGTAGCGCGTGGACGCGTACGGGACGTGCGGCTCCCTGCGTCGTCGCCCGCGCCAGCACCAACCGGGGTGGACGCGATGTGAGCGCGTCCGAGCGCCTTGCCACGGCCAAGCTGTCCGCGACTGACCGAGAGCAGCCAGCGAGTCGGGCAACCGAGGGAGGTGCGGCTGGCGATGAGAGCCGCGAGAACCGATCGCGGCACGTCGGTGATGAAATCGGTGTCCGAGGGCGAGCTGGGCGTGGAGGAAGAGGTTAAACCCGCCGAGTCGCGTGGCGCCACGCGGCTCAAGCGCACCTTTACACTGCCGAGAAACCCGTTTCAAAGTGCCAGCAGCAGGATGTCGCGGCGACGTCCGAAGCAGCAGAGCCACGGGGACTCGAGGGACGCCAACAGCGGCGCGCCGAGCGCCAAGGAGAACACCAACGAGCCCTCTGGCAAGAAGGTCTTCCGCCGGCCCTCCTGGAAGAAGTTTATCAACAAGATGGTGCGGCACATGTCCAACGTCGGCGCCCAGAGCCACAAGTCCGCCTCGATGGCCCAGCAGCAGCAGCAGCAGCAGCGTTGCAGCGGCGGCGACGACCTCGGCTCGAGCGCGGGCGACATCCGGGTGCCGCCGCCGCGGCCGGCGCACATACCGCCCGACCGCGTGCCGGGCGTGATAGGCCTACGCAACCACGGCAACACGTGCTTCATGAACGCCGTGCTGCAGTGCCTCTCCCACACCGACATCCTCGCCGAGTACTTTGTCCTCGACCAGTACAAGGTCGACCTGTCGCGCCGCAACAAGCTCAACTCGAAAAAGTACGGCACCAAGGGCGAGATCACCGAGCAGCTCGCGCTCCTCCTCAAGGCGATCTGGAGCTGCCAGTACGACCCGGAGATGAGCACCGCGTTCAAGAGCGTCGTCGACAAGTACGGCAGCCAGTACCGCGGCAATCTGCAGCACGACGCCCAGGAGTTCCTGCTCTGGCTCCTCGACAAGGTGCACGAGGACCTCAATCAGGCGACCAAGAAGAAGTACAAGATCATAAAGGTATTTCCAAGCGGAATGGCATTGTTGCTCCCGTCTGTCTTTAGTCGCGGCTGCTCGCGCCTATGTCGTCGGGCCTATTTTTAGTGATACCGAGAGGCGTAAGGTCGCGCGCGCCAAAACCAAAATGACCATGTCAACACGTATCTTGACCTCGGACGCGAGCTCGAGCCGTCCCGAGAGTGATCCTCGCGAATCCAACATTTGTAACAAATTAACTTGTTACTCCAGGCTTTTGCTGCACGCTATTGCTCAATTCACCTTCTGAGAAAATCATTCCCAGATGAAACCTCATTGGAAATCAAGATTCGTGATTGAATTTGGATGTTCAAGACCTGCTATCTCAAAATAGGCATATCTCCGCGACGAGTAAATAACAAGTGGAAATGACGGTTCAAACGATATTTTTAAGGAGATTGGAATCAGAGACGTAATTTTATTTGGGAGCAGAGCGTGACGAGTCGCGCTCCCGACGAATCAGGTTTCTCAATTTAAGGAAACAAGATAAACATTGGAGCTTATCGGTAATTGTATCAGAAGTCGCTTGAAACGTCTACTTCGGTAGAGAATGTAGAGATGTTCGATCTCCGTCGGGAAATGGGGGAGAAAAGTCCCACGTCGCTACTTTCTAGCATTGGAGTGACCCGTCTCCAATAAAATCCCGGCGAGGAGCAATTAACACGAGTAGCATTCTACTTGCGGGCGCGCGGCGGTGGACCAATTAAACGCATTCTTCGGTAGTCGCTTAATCGTCGAGCTGGACGTCACGACGAGAGAAACTTTCTCCTTGGATCGTCGTGGCCAGCCGTGTGAGAGACGCTCGACGAAAGCTCGCGCTCTTTCTCTTAAACGCATACGGTGCGTAGGCATAGGCGTGTATTCTCGGACGCTCTGACGGTCTCCCGCGTGTGCGTGACGACTGGCGGAAGCCGCCAACACGCCAAGACGAGCCGGAGATGCACAGATGCACAGGGCCAGCCGAACGCACGCGAGGTAGATGAAATCAATGCCGAATTAATATCCTAAACGAACGCTCGTTGAAGGCGCTCGCGCCGATTCTCTTAATTAAAGACCAATATTTCGCTCGAGATTTCAAGGTCATCGGAGGCCAAGCGCGCTAATGAATATTTATTGGCGTACGTTTCACCCTTTGACGTCTTGGGTCTTTTGGAAGACGCGGATTTGTCGCGTTCGCTCCGCGACCAGCGACGAGACGGAAAGTAAAATATTTGAGAAAACAGAGGTCGGGAGGGACGGTATTTCTAGAAAAAGAGAAGGCGGTGAAATGTAGGGAAGCTCTAAAAATAGCGAGAGCACAGATTCCGTCGGTCGTATCGAAATTCTTAAGGTGCAAGTTTCTCGTACAATAGTTATGTTAATTGGATAGAAAACACACATATGTGTAATTTCTCTTAGAATTTACCCTGAAAATCACGCTCGTGGAGTAAGTAAGCCCAGAGATGTCAAACTTGCCTTTTAATTTCATACAAATGACGTGATATTTCCAAGTAAATAATATATTTTATGTGGCTCAAAACCCCGCTGATGGAATCAAACCAACTGCCAGCCTGAACAAATGACTGAACAAATTAATTTACGCCGAAACGCAATGAGTTGATGAGTCTGTCGCAGCAAATTTATTCATATTGCATGGCAAAAAGCTACTCAAATTTGTTTATTCCATGGTAAAGGTTCTAAGAGAAATCTCTCGAAAAGTCAATCAGTGCATTGTAACTCATTGTCAGTCGGTGAACGTTGACGGTTTTCAGCGATAATCCACCGACTGACTTTTAGAGAGAAGAATGTAACAATGATGGACAGAACAGTTTTTCCTCTAGTGAGTTGTTTAGTTAGAGTTAGAAGCACGCATTGTTAGATTCAGGTTTACGTTCCAAAACATTTTCTCCGGGGAAAATTTTACTTGAGAAATGGATAAAAAGCGCTCATGCATAAACAAGTATTTACACAAGAAAGAGTAAAAAAATGGTATTTGTAAACGTACATACATTTATATATTTCCGTTATTAATAGTGTAATCGCTACACTTATTATGTATGTAATTTTTACTGTGCAGTCCGATTGTTCCTCTTCGGTTTACGGTGCAGAAAATACAGTTGGACGATTATAAACGCGGTCGGAGAGCGACGCGCGATGGGCTTCGGCCCATTTTTTCTTCACCGCTTCGCGAAACGAGCCAATCGACAAACGGCCAGTCAGTCGAGACCTTAACCCGAATTTGCTTCACGTTCGAAAATACGTGCCGCGGTTTTTCAATTATCCCCAAGGTGGATCGGCGCGAGCCGAAAAATGTGTGTCACACGTGAGAATATCGCGGTTTCCCCGAGAAAACCGCGGCTCCAATTCCGAGTGTCCCGCGCGATCGAGGCTGAACGTGAAAATAGCTGGAGAGAACGAACCCGACGAAATCGCCGTAAGCTGATAAACTCGGTTATTTTTCCGAGCGCGTTATGAAATCGTTCCAATTAACGACATGACGGCTGTCAATTATTTACCGTTACCGATTCGATATATGTCACGAAATCGCGTCAACGTCACAATTATCAATCGTTATCGCTTATATCATTGAAAAAATATCACGTGGCGCATAATCGTCGGCGGGTCTTTTTCATAACGTTCAACGCGGCAAATAACCGAACGCCACTTGACTTGGCCGATAAGAATATCGTCAACTCGATAATCTCGAGACCGCGCTCCGAGGAGGGAACGTTGAAACAACAATTAAATTCCGTAAATGATATCTAAATAAATGCCTTTTTCAATGCGTTCGGCGACCGTGCGCTCCATCTCGGCGCGATTATTCATCTCCCGCCCGTTATCTTATCGTTCGCCTCTCAGTTGCGGCTCGAATCGTTTGCCGAGTAGCAAAGATAAGGCCCGCATAACCGAACGGATTTATTAAATATTAAATTTCCTCCAAGATATTCCATTCCACGCTTACGACGAAGAGGAGCTGCTCCGATCATCGGCGATAGATCGATAACAGCCGCGGGACACGTCATTTTTATCGCCCGCGAGAAAACCTTTTATTCTTTCTCGAGAGGTGCCTGCCGAGAAACCGTATCGCACGCGCGACACATATTCGTCACCGTCGAGCGCGAGGAGATCGCGCGGTACCGTAACGAGGACTGGCCTTGAACGGGGCCACGGAAGATGCAGTTCATCATTTTACCATACATTTTATTAGTAAATCAAGTAAAATTCCTCAAAACGCGCTCACATGATTCTCCAATTTTCAGAAAAAAATTCTCTCCGTACGGGCGAGATTTTCTCTATCCTCGCAAAACCGAGTATGCCAATAGTCCGGCATGAATGTGACTCGTTTTTTTAGCATAAGGGAGGGAAGTCAACGTAATTGTTGGCACAATATTTACGTAACGCTATTTATAGCGACGCAGACGCGAAAAAAGAACGTTACGCCCATCATCCTTGCGTGACTCGGTCCTTCCGATCTCCGGCGTTTCATACGCACGAACGTAACATAAAAAAAAATTGAGAGAGAATCGCGCTGTTCCTATGCATATTTCCAATTCCACGCATTGATAGGTGTATACGCACTCGAAAATGTTGCATCGCTGGTCGTGAATCCACTGGCTCACGTGAACATCGTGTATAAACAAATCTAAAAGAATCCTTTTTTCCGTAATTGATGGGGAATCGCATATCGCCGACTTATCGCGTTGACATATCAAGTGGCACTCCATTTGTTGATATCTTGCTGAGAAAAACATTGACGCACGAGAGAATAGATGGAATCTTTTTGTTTCGTATCCTAATGAATAGAGGGAGAGATTTTATACTACTGAGACTGTTTAAACAAGTTTGACATCCCAGTAATCATACTGGGTATAATGGCCCATAACAGTAGCTCATTAAAGACCGTCCATCGTCATAACGTAAATCATACATCTTTTCCTCGGTAAACATAACAGTATCAAGTAATTGAGCAAAGACGCTTTTGCTTTTATTCAGGAAGGAACTGTGTAAGAGCGTTTGCTTACGTTCAAAGTATTCCTTTTCCATAAATAAAACGCCGATAATATCGAGATCGTCTGACAAGAGTTTGAAAGAGCACTTTCTGTTCTCGAAAAGCGAGAGACAGCGTTTTACATGTCTCAGTCCAATTGCGCGATTGAAACATATATTTTTAAATGGCACACAATTGCGTTTAAATACCCCGCTTATAAATACAATTATAGATAAAGTTACAAATATATGAATAATGATCGGTAAGTGCTTTCTAGCGCTTTCAGGTACTATAAGTTAATCGTATTTTCGCGGAAACGAAAGATTGTTGTGAAAGCGGAAAGTGCACTTTATCGCGCTTTTATTTAAAAATAGATATCCTTTCTTCCGCACTCCGTTTTTATCTTGTGACTCACCGCGTCGACAAAAGCCGACAGGAGGAATTCATGACACGCGGCGCATCGGCTCTTCCGATTTTTTTGCGAGCAAATTACGAAGCAGTTAAATCAGCTGACAGTTGCGGGCTCCAATTTTCGATACAAGTTTGTTGCGACGGGAAGATTTCGCACATACTTTGTGTGGCAAACTGAGGTAGAAAAATATTTTGAGCAAATCATGATTAGACTCGCGAATTTTACAACAGTTGTAAAGCAGCTCTCTCTCTCTGCTGAACGCAGCCATTGATAAGCCAAACGGATCACGCCTCTCATTCATCCCCGGCGGGGATTCATCTATCGGCGGTGTTTCTCTTGGGGAATAATTCGTAAGGGTACCCGGACGCGTAATCGCCAGAGTACGCGCGCACCGGCGTGACATTGACCAATTGTGGCGCGATTCCAGCCGTACGCATCGGAAATTACTTCCGGCAACCGCTGATACATCCTGCGCGATCAGTCCGGCGACGATTATCCCATTCTGCGGTTTTTTTTCATCGCGTGTGGCAAATTACACGGCTTCGGGAGGCGCGAGCGAGCCCGCGCGCGGAAGCCCCGCGTGCCGCCCGTTGTCATCGCGAGCGCTAACGTTCCGCGTTAACGAGGGTGTACCTTTCATCATTGAAACGTGCACGCCGCTCGGGCGTACGTTACGTAACAGTCCGCTGCGATCTCGCATTGGTATTTATCGGAATTATGTCGAGCTTTTCCGTTATGTAACGGGCGAGTGCTGGCCGCGAGACCAGTGGCTGACCTTCCGCGTCAACTTGGAAAAGATTTTACATTGACCATCTTCGGGCAAGTAATTAGTGATTGATCTAGCGACAATTTTTGAAGCCAACGCCAGGCAATAACCTTTGCGGATTCCAGTTGAGATGACACGGTATCGGAATGCGAGCACGCGCGGGAGCTCCCGACAGCTCCAATTATGTCACACCACTCGATCCTATCGAAGAGAGCGTTATCGGGGCTTATCGCCCTGATTTTCTAATTCAGACTCGGCAACTCGCCAGATCGGTGGTGCATCCTGACGTAAGGTCGCTAAACTAGCGTTTTAGCGTACCGGCGACAATTGTGCCGAAGCTGCTGCGCGGAGTTGGTTAGCGGAGAGATCTTCCTTTCGCGCGTTACGGATGATTGTCGTTATGCGATAATTTCGCGTTAACGCTATATATTGTATAAACTGCTGTAAAAGACAGAGCTGTAAAAAGAGGAAAGAGATGAACTCGTTACCCTCTAAAAGGTGGATTATACAAGACTTCTGATATGAGACAGCAGGTTTCCAACATTGAAATTTCATCTTTTTTTCGCAGGGATTACACGATCTGTCAATGAATTTTCCGTTAAACAGATGTCACTCCAAGGGCGATGCCAAGAGACGTGGTGCCTATTAATTTAGCGGAAACCCTCCCGTCTCATGTTAGGAGCCTATTTCATAATAATTTCTCGACTCGTCAAGTAAAACCGATGGCGAGACCACTCACCAAGTAATTTTGTTGGAATTTTCCCATGTTCCGTTGTTCGACGTTCGCTCTAAATCGCTTTCTCCATTCGCAGAACTCATTCGGCAGACCCGACGACATCGTCGCCGCGGAGACGCTCGCGAATCACGTGCGGTGTAACAACTCCTTCGTGCACGCCGTGTTCCAAGCGCAGTTCCGCTCCAGCCTGACCTGTCCGAGATGCCACCGGCAGTCCAACACCTTCGACCCATTCCTGTGCGTGTCGGTGCCGGTGCCGCAGAATCATCGGCAGATGAATCTCTACGTCAACGTCCTCTACACGTCGCAGCAGCCGCGGCAGGTCAAGATCGGCGTGAGCGTGAATCAGGCGGCCAACGTGAGGGAGCTCCGGGAGATCCTGGCCAGCGACACCGGCGTCGACGAGAATCACATGCTACTCACCGAGATCCACGACGAGGGATTTCACAGGTTAGCGCTGAGAATACATATAGTTTTCGCATTAGAAAAGAGAAATAACGTCTTCCCTCTCTCCGCAGAACCTTCTCCGACTGTCAGCCTCTGTCCGTGATTATGGAGAACGATCCACTTTACTGCATCGAGCTGCCGCAGTTGAAGGAGCCGACGGAGCAAGCGTACATCTTGTTGGTTTGGATCAACGTTCTCGTCAAGGGGGATCTGAGGCAACGTTTCGGCAGCCCGTACACGATGCAGGTGTCACGCGAAACGTCCTACGAGGATCTGCAGAAGCTTTTGCTCAAGGAGATGCACAGCACGTTGGCGGACGACGTTCTCACGACCAGCCAAAGTCCCGGGCTCTTCAATATCCGCGTGGCTGATCCGGCGGCGACGCCGATCCAGGACGAGCATCCCTGTATCGATCCCTGCGTGGAGCATCCCCTTTATACGGAGCAGATCGAGCAAGCGTTGGCGCTTTGCGCCGACGACTCGGGCCCGCAACACGTCAAGCTGATCCTCGAGTGGGACGAGGCGACGAAATGCAATATCATACAGGACGACAGCGACCAGATCGAGGAGCATGCCAGCGTGAAGCAGTTGAAAAGCAATTCCGAACTGGGCGGCGCGGTTACCCTGGAGGAGTGTTTCGATCTGTACACGCGGGCGGAGATACTGGGCGCGGAGGACGCGTGGCATTGTCCCTACTGCAACAAGAAGCAAGAGGTGGTGAAGAAGCTGGGTCTCTGGTCACTACCCGATATATTAGTCATACACCTCAAGAGATTTCGTCAGCAGTCTAAGCAACGGTCAACGTCCAAGCTGACTATGCTGGTGGACTTTCCGCTGTACGGCTTCGACATGACGCCACACCTCGCTCACAACGGCGTTCAGGCGACGCACAACAACGTAACCAGCTTGGGCGGCCTGGGCTGGTCGCCCTGGAAGAAACCGCGTCCCCGGCAGCACAATATCCCCAAGTACGACGAGAACGTGTACGATCTCTACGCGATTTGCAATCATCACGGGCAGGATCTGCAGGGCGGGCATTACACGGCGTTTTGCAGAAATCCATACGACACGCAGTGGTACTGCTTCGACGACACGCGCGTCGAGGCGGTCAACGACACGAATCTCATCACGAACGCGGCGTACATGCTCTTCTACCAGCGAAGGGGCCTGTCCAACAACTCGACGGGAAATTCGTCCGCGGCGTCCACGAGCTCGACCGGTTCCGGCCTGGATCACTGGGTGTCGAAAATGCCGCCGTTTTACTTCAACAATAAGAGCACCAGCGACGTAACCAACAACAAGCAAAGTAAGTCGCAAGAGATACTGTGCCAGGAGAAGATTGTCGAAGAGAAGAACATGACCAACTTCACCAGAGGCTGCGGCAATTACGCGACTCTGCAGCCGAAGAAGAGGAACGCGGCGACGGAAACCGATATCGGGCAGATCGATCATTATTCGGATGACGAAGCGCCTTGCAGAAGAGAATGGGTACGTTATTACGCCAAGACTTTAGTTGTATTAAACTCGTCGAACGAGTCGAGAAAGTAAATTAATCTTGATCGTGTATTGCAGGCCTCCCCGAAACCTGTGCGAAAGACTTCATCCATCACGCTGACGCCACACATACCGCCAGCAATAATTCAGACTGCTAGCAGTGATCCAAATACAACGGTGATACACGAGTCGACGTTGTAACACACGATATAAGCCAGACTGACAATGAGAGGTCTGGCTCGAGCGATGCTCAATGTACAGTGCCTGGTGTGCCGTGATGTTTGAACGACATCGAGTGGCGAGATTAAAGAAAAAAGGAAGAACGCGAACGAAAGACAATTCCGATAGAGTATATAAATCCGTTATTTTTCCATTACCGAACGGGGGACGATACGCCGAGAGACGACAGTTCACCAGGTTCCTTCACCTCGAATTTATAAACGCTTTCTCACATGGATGCCGAAGTGGATGACGGATTTCACATATTTCGAGCGGTGTGACGGAAATCTAGCCCCGGACGATCTTTCGGATGATTAATAGAAATACGAGGCATTAGTAATTTTTGTAATTGTAATACCGTGTTTGTATACAGCTCGCGTGGATTGTATTATATGATAGCAGCTAAGATAGCTTTTTAAAAGGAAGACAAATCTTATACTCAGTATATGAAGAATCGCGTATATTCTTAAGAGAAGGAGAAGAAACCTCTAGTGTTTATATTATACAGTTAACTACCTTGAATGCAATAGGCAACTCTACCTATGTCCAGAGGAGGGGAGATATTTTCGGAGCTAAAAAGGTTTTTAGCGCAGCCGTCTACAATGTCACAATGCAAACGTCACTCGCGCCGTGTCATCTTACAATGAAAGTATATGACAATAACGAGAAACACATTTCTGCACTATCCTGCGTTTAACAAGCACACACATTTTTCCTTTCTTCACGATCGATCGTTTTCTGGACATACTAGCGTAGCTGAACCGTTGCTTTCAGACTCTATGCTTATAACTGTAATATTTATATTATACCTGTATCATCCACTAGTGGCCTTATCTAATTAATACTGATACACACGTCACATTATTAAGCATGTTACTCATACGTATTACTCACAAGCGTATTTTATTTTAGATATCGAGACCTTTTTTCCTTTTTTTTCCTTTTTTTTTGTTGCGAGGGGTCACCGAATCATATAACGTTAATTTCGCAATATCCCTGTCTGAATTTAGGCATCGTTTAGGAGACACTTATGAGAGTTATAGTTGGTATCACAGCCTACAGTCAAGTTCTTCCAACGACTGTGCGGACACAGCGCTCCGCGAGAAAGGGGGCTTTTCTACATATAACGGAGAACAAGTACACACGCGGTTGGTTATACTTGAATCTCCCAGTTTTAACAATCATTCCAATCTGGATGTCGTGTAGAGTGCGAACGTGAGAGCGAGCGTGTGAAAGCGGGAGAATTTATAAATATATATATGTATACATACAAGATTATATAATGAATGAAAGATGTTTAAGTTATTGTATTAATGAACATTTTATTACTAGTCACACGTATCGTGGACACGGGTAGTTGGTAAGGATGATTTAGAGTGCAAACGGCAAACTGTGTCACGAGTTACTACCCGCTATGATTTTACAAGTTCTGTCAATCGACTGAGGATATAGACACACGTACACGTTACTTTCGTTGAAATAAATACAGAATGTATATGTACATATATATATGCACACGGGAGAAATGTGTTTTATTCCAGGTTTGTTTTTTGTGCACGTTTCATATAACTTGGTCGTTTCGATCTACAGCTCTCGTCGTGCGTTGCATTTTGTTATACGTTTACAAAGAGAAAAAGTAGGGAAAGATATCGTTGCGTTGGTCCGTATATATGTATACATACATATGAATACCGTGTCTTTTTGAATATATTTTGAGGGTTAGCGGTAACTCTCTTGTTGCGAATTTCTTTACTTATTGACCAAATAAAAAGGGGACTTAAATGACCGAGCTGATATCTTACCAACGATATGGCAGAAAACGTGAATAATTTGGAAAATAAATACGATGAGACAGAAAAGTGCGAGATATGTTTTTCTCTTGCAATCCATGTTTACTAATGTAACTTAATTCCTAAATTGGTTTGGCACACCGGAAGGTATCTTAGGGACAATGAGTGATTAACAGATTTATTGCCGCTTGTAAGAGAAATTCGATTCTGTGTAATAGAAACCACTTTTTGGGACTCGATCGCTCTCAAGTACAATGTATGGAATTATCGGTTTCGACTTGAATTTTCAAGCGCACATCGAAAACTGAGAGCTATCGAAAGCGATACGCCCTCTGTGGACATGAACTACATAGCCAAGTGGGTAACGCAGATTTGCGAAATTTTGGTTGCGTTACCCACTTGGCAAAATGTGGACATGTAGTTGATGTCCACAGAGGGCGTATTTCGCCAATGATCTTGTCAGGTTTT